AAAATCTGTTATCAGTCGGTTAGCGTTAACCGACACTTTACCGGACATTGTAAGAACGGCCCTAAAAGTCTAAAATGAAACAAAACAAAATTAAATAAATTATTCAAAACGTAAATTTAGTATTTACTATGTTATGCGTTTGTAAGAGACAACGCATGCCAGTGTGGACGTATGAGTGTATTACGTTCTTCTTAGTATAGTACCTATTTAGTATATTAATATTATTTAAGAGGACGCCACACCCGCATGTGTTGTCTCCGTCTTACAAATGTACAACATAGCAAAAACTCTTTTGCGAGGGACAACTTTTCTCGCACCATATTTGTTGTAGAACTACCAAATTTTCACAGCACTTAAAGAAGAACTTTATCTGTGCATCAGCGTGCTTTTTTTTTCAATAACATATATACAATACAAGTTATTTGCTTCTAAACATTTGGTTTTTTAATTTGCTTATAAAAAATGATTGGATGGTGCTATTGAAAAAAAGAAGCACGCTGTTGCACAGATAAAGTTCTTCTTTAAGTGCTGTAAAAATTTGGCAGTTCTACAACAAATATGGTGCGAGAAAAGTTGTCCCTCGCAAAAGAGTTTTTCTATGTTGTACATTTGTAAGACGGAGACAACACGTCATGCGGGTGTGGCGTCCTCTTAATATTTGGTGTATTCAATGGCTCAATAGCTCAATGGTAGTACACTAGTACGTATACCTACACTTAAAGTTACTATAGTTATAACTTATAACTTATAAGTTATAAACCTAGTTATAGGCATATAACATAGCCCGTATTTATGACCGTTTAGGTAGGTATAATTAGAAAACAATTTTGTTCAATTTCGTTATCAATTTTATCTTAATTGTATTGTAGAGTTCTAGTGTTCTATTATATGCTCTAAGTGTAGAATTAGAACTTAAAAAAATTATAAACAGGTAAATCCAATGCTGAAAATTCAATGTCAAGAAATAAATGATTGTTCGACCTTAATTGTATTTGTATATACCTAATCTATCTATCTTGATTTCGTTTGTAATTGTCTATAGGTATATATATTGTACTCGTGAATCGGTAAACCCGTGTCAGACACCGTAACGTCTCACCTAAAAATAGTATTACGCAGTGTACACTTCAACGTAAACATATGGAGTCATGGAGAATATGAGTACCGAGTACCCGAACGATTTATATAAATATAATAATATTATAGGTATTCTGAATTTCTTACCTAGCTGTTCGAATTGCGTTTGATGCGAAGAAATACAAGCTATTTTGTTCGTATTCGTCGTGTTTGCGTATAATTTACAGAGCCGCATTTAACGGGGGGCAAGGGGGGGCAATTGCCCCGGGGCGGCAATTTTAAGGTGATTTGAGGGGCGGCAAATTTTTAGAAAATATATCATATTATAATATTATACGTTCTCCGTTACGAATTTCGTATTAAATTTTTAAAATAATTATTATTATATTAAAAATATTAATACCAATAATAATTTTATCTATCAACGATTCAATAATAACTAAATGCATCACAGTTGTGTGTCTGTGTTATTTGTAGCTTTTAATTTTCGGCGAGTCAATCATACGATAATGCGTCTAATATGTGTGGTGTTTATAACGGATTACAGACTCGAATTAAAAACTATTCGTCGACAGCCTTTTTTGTGCCGTGTTCAGCACATTCTTTGAATTTAATTGGTTCCAATTCTGCAGATACAACTCAAGAAGGCACAACATTTTTTTTTATATGTCAAGCAATCTATAATTTCTTTTCTGTTTCAACATTCAGATGTAATATTTTGACTAATATTATCGAAAATAATCAAGATTGTGTCAAAATAAAAAAACTATGTTCAACTCGTTGGTCATCCAGGTACGATGTATGTAAAGCAATGGTTATGCTTATGCACAAGTACTCAGTGCTTTAACTACTATTTGTGATGACAAAGGACAAAAAAAAGATACAAGACACGAAGCTCATTTAATTAAAAATAAAATTGAGAGTTTAAATTTTTGTTTTATGATTTGTATGTGGACACCTATACTTCAAAGATTTAACGCAACAAGTATAAGTTTACAGTCTATAGATATAGACCTAGACATAGTTGTTACACTGTACGAATCTTTAGAAAAATATGTGGAAGACTTTAGAGAAAGATTTGATGTGTACTTAGAACAAGCAAAAACGATGTGTTCAAAACAATTATTTTCCTGGGATGGCGTGAGACAAAAAAAGAGAAAGAAGTTTTTTGATCAAACTGAAAGTAACAATGAATTATTGGAAGGAGAACAAAAAATGAAATGTGAAGTATTCTATGTTATTATTGACAGGCTAGTTGTGAATTTACGTGAAAGAAAACTGTCCTACACTGATATAAATAATAATTTTGGATTTATATTAAAATTAGATACATTAGATACTAACGGAATACGTGAAAAAGCTAAAAACCTAGTGAAAATATATCCTGAAGATTTAAACGAGACATTCATAGAAGAACTGGTGCAATTTAAAAATATTCTGAATTTGTTTTCAAAAGAAGATAAATCATCTTTTATAAGTCTTTTAAAATGCCTCACAAATTCTGCCCTTTTGACAACATTTGCAAATGTAGAAATAATATTGCGAATATTTTGTTGTATGGCTTCATCCAATGCAAGTGGAGAACGGTCATTTTCTGTATTAAAAAGAATAAAACATGATCTAAGGTCTTCTTTAGTTGATGAAAAGATGTCATCATTATCCATATTAAATATAGAAAGCGATATTTTACAACAGATTGATTGGTCGGACATAATACATAAATTTGCAGTTTTGAAATCAAGAAAAAAATTAATATAAGTTGAATAAAAATGTATTTTAATTTACTATTTTTAATTTTTAATTATAATTCTAATTAATTGTATTATGAATATTTAATAAATAATATGTTTAAAAAGAAAAATTAAGTATAAATTCATTGTATAGGTTACTAAGTACTTACTAGATAACTCTTTAATATTTTAAAACTAACGGAGAAACGTATTAAAATATAATTCTGCTGTGTTTATGATAGCGAAAAAAGAGAGGTGAAAATCATATGATATATTTTTTAAATATATATAGAGGCGGCAAATTTTACATTGCCCCGGGGCGGCAATTTGGCTTAATGCGGCACTGATAATTTAACCCGTATATTATTAAACATTTAGGTAACTAATAAATAATAACTATTAATATAATAATATTACTACTTATTTTAAAAGTATAATTTAAAACATAATTGGAAAACGGAAATGTGTATTTATAATTTATATTCTCATGGTTTTCATTTCATTATTTATTATAAAAAAATATAATGTATAGTACATTAGTACCATTGATTATAAATACTAGTATTTACAAGTAGGTAGTACGTATATATTACTATATTATAAAGTCTAAAGTCTTTAAGGCTAGGTAAAGTTTTAGATTTCTGTAAGCCAAACTCTGGTAATAACTAATAATAATTATAATAAATACCTAATAATATAATATATTATGTACAACATATTATGTATATCATTTTTATGATCGGCACTTTCTCAAAACCATTGTTGTTAATTGTATATTGAAATATACCTACAATATATTATTTTGTATACCTATATGGCTATATCAATATCTGATTTTTAACTTATATAATACACGCAGTTTCGTTTTCAAAACCAGATAGGTACCTAGTATTCTAAAATGTTTGACAAAAGTACAAAGTATTTTAGTATTCTACCTATTATGTTTATAACATTTTCGGAGATCTCCAAAGTCGTAATAAATATACATAGTTGAAGTATTCTCAAATCTCAATAATGATTGCAGTTTCAAGTAATAAACCTAAATTTTTAAAAATAATTAAATAAATAGGACGATACATTTTTTGCTCGTTAAATTATATTTAATATTGTATTTGTAAGTTCTTGGTAGTACTATTGCCTTTTACTATAGCACCTACTTATTAATTTTAATAAATTATAAAAACAATCAAGTCGGATATCCATATAGCCCCCTTTATTGCCCATAGGTAATAGAATATGGATTTGTGCAGTTATAATAATATTTCAATTAATTAAACATTATACTCATTAGCTAGTGAATACTGAATGACTTAAATAAATAAGTGATAAAAATAAAAATGATTTTATTTATTTATTTATTATATTGATTTTAACACATATTACATATTTCGACATGATATACAATACAAAATACTAAAATACCTATTATTTGTTTGAAGTAATTTAAATTTTAAATAGAAAAATAAAGTTTTATATTATACGTCATAATTCAGAGTAAAACATACATCACAGTATAACTAATTAAATATAACTTTTTGGTTATTGGACTATTCTGTTATCGTACTAAAAACATTCATTGTATTCATTTTGACAAATATTCAAGTCAATCACAAATATAATTTTTTAGATACGATAAAACGGCGTCTTTGTATAAATACTAGGTAGCTAAATAGTTCGGAGCCAATTTACCAACCAGAATAAGATAACTAAAAAGTACCTTATATATTATGAATAATGTAAAATTCCTAATTAATTTTTCTGTAATTACTGTAATAATTTTAAAACTATGATAGCCCCTGGGATGAAGCCCACTCAACCACCTCCACCACAAATCCCATCACTGCGTGAGGCGACACGACGTAATTGAAATACCCCTGAATCCCCGTCGACCAGTACGTCACGATATTCTTTCTATGATAAGTAGAAACTAGAAGATATAGGTAGTAATAAATATTTAAATATTTTATTAATTATAATATTTCTATTTATATAATTCTTTCTTTCTACAGTGAAAAAAAAAAAAATAATAATAATATAGTCTCATAGGCACGATGCAACCGAATTAATTAAATTAATTAGTTTAATCCGTGGTAAAATTAAATTTATTAATTTCGATCGTATTTCCTAAGGTTGAAATAAATTCGATTATCGGGCGACCCAGCAGCAGCTGCAGGCTGATATTATATTACATTATTATATCCGTGTCACGCGCTTATCAGTTATCACGCATTTGTGCACGGCGGCAGTCTGTAGAGGTGGTGGTGGAGGTACGAGTGTACGACCGCCTCCGTAAAGCGCAATCTCCATGAAAACATCGTAGTTACTATACAGCACTATCCCGCGGCCGCCGGCGCTTGTAGAACACACAGTCGTGTTTTCCAAGATAACTTCAATTTCGCAGTGACGCTGTCTCGCAGTCTCGCAGGAGAGTTTAACCTGGATGGTTTGTGTTTGCGCGTCATTCTTCTCGCGTATCCGCATTACCTACAATCATATTATTGTCATTATATCTGATACAGCTAGCCTACTGCATTTTCGGGCTCGTTGTCCGATCCGTACGATTTCTTTCTTTCGAATCGATTTATGATTATTATTATTTTTTTCTCAATCGCCCGTAACGCGCTCGCCAAACTCAATCGCAGTTGTTTTGTGTGTCAAGACTTGAGAGCAGCCACACTATACCGTCGCTCGGGCTGACGTCCCTCAACTCCGGCGAGTAACCGTAGCTGCACCGTCGACTTCGGCGGCGGTGGCCGCAGGAAATCTCGCCGCCACACAGATCATCTCACCATGCCTCCCAGATCCCGGAAGAAGGCATCCAAGCCGGCCCAGCCAGCCAAGCCGACCAAGAAACCTAAGTTGGGCTCGGAGACCATGGAGCTGATATGTGCCATGATAGGCGTGACGGAACCCGAAAAGCCGCCTCAAGTTCGGGGTCGATTTAAACCAGGTAAATAGCTAGAAACACAGACACTCGGAATGGCTGTGTCGCGATTTTACGCATCACTCGTCACGGGATGTCATCTCGTCCCGCCTATGTCAACGACGCCCGTCGGATCGTCTACGTTCCGCCGGAATGATCAATTATTGCTTCCGAACGGTCCCCACGGTCCTCTGCCAGATCATGTACCGACAGAGTCCGCTCGTATGTTATGACAATCGTGTCAGAGGTTTTTCGTTTCTGGCCCGCTCTTGGGTCAGTGGTACAATTTTTTTCTCGTCCTGGTACCTAGTCGATTATTAAATGCATACAGCCGCAAGACCGTGTGTTTTCTTGGTCCGGGCGCCTCTGGTCAATCCTTCCCATTGCAGCAATTGATGAAACCCTACTATCTAGGTTACTAGTATTTTTTTTTCAACATGGAACGTATAGGCTGCTATGTTTTCTGTGTTTCAGTTTTGAAAGTCTACATTTCTGACTTGTTGTGTATTTTTTTAAAAATGTTATTGCATAGTTAGTCGAACAATTACCTAAGATATATCTACAGGTCGTACACTTCTTAATTCTATTAAAATTGTCAAGGATTGCATATAAGAAAATGCTAAAATTGGATTCCCTAGATAAGTTTTAAATTGATTGTAATTTATAACAACCCTATCACTTTTAAAAGCTTAAAGGTTTGGTTCAATTATTTGTCAGTCAAAAATACAAAATGCCTATTTCTGTTGGTTATCTACCTTTTATATAATGTACATTTTTATATCAGATGGGTACCTAGTTCATTATATTTTGTTGTTAAATGTTAGAAATAGGTTATTTGTATGTTAACATTAATTTAATACTTCAGCTTTGTTTACAAACAATTATTATTTTAGCACTGAATGTGTACTATGCTTCTGTACAGAATACTACTTTAAGTTCGGTTCTTTTCTAAGTGCCTATAATATATATACCTAGTACCTACCTACCTTTTGTGTGGTTTTTGTTTGCAGATTAAATTTGCATACTTAAAAATTATGGTTGAATAGTCTTTGACTAAGCAAATTCTAATTATTTTATATTAGAAATAAGTGAAAAAATAACATAATTAATTTTTGTTCTACTTGCCTTTACTTATAATATTATGTTCATATTAAATATTATAATTATGATGGATATTAGCTAGTTAAATACATATATAATGATAATGGGATAGGTGTCTAACTAGTTATTATAGAAGTGGTAAACATTGTGAATGTTTCAAAACAAATTATTAATTTAATTTTTATGATTGAATTACTATCTTTAAGAAGATTAACAGAAGTTTTTGCTAGTATTAAACTATAAAGTGATTCTATAAAGGGAATAAATTCAATTTTAATTGCTCAATTTTGATCATATTTATGTAATCGTATAGGTAGGTATATAACAAAATTAAATTTAGCTGTGTAAATATATTCTTACAATTAATTAGGTTTAAATCATATTTTATCCTGTTTTTATTCTTAATACCTACTATACATTTTATATTATGTAATAAACTAATAACTAATAAAGGTAGAAAGGATATTCCCCTATAACTCTTACTTGAAGGTAGCAAAACTTAAACATTGAATAAATGTATATTATATAATTGTATGTACTAATGTACTAACTGCTAACATCAGTAATAAATACTTACATACTTAAACAATACATTTATATCTTATAATTTAATAAATAAATGTTTTAATGGATATAAGATCAAGAATTGTAATTTATACTTTGTAATTTTTTTGTTCAATGATTTTATATAATGGTTAGCAAATACATTAATCATTACCTATGGCAACTGTTAAATATTATTAATTGTATCTGTTTTTTAGGTGAAAAAGTCTATTGCGAATGGGATGGTATTTATTATCGGGGCAACATTTTGAAGCGTTTAACGGGAAAAAATTATTACTCTATTCATTACTGGAAATTTACCAAACGGTTAGTACATTCATACATTTTAAATTTAAAAAAAATATATGACTATTTTATCCATCAATATTTTTTAGTTGGGATATGCCAGTGAATCAGAAAGCGCTACTTAGATTTGATACTCGGGATAATGACAAATATGTTAAAAAATACAATGCTTTTTCTAGGTAAATATTGAGTTATACAAACTAAAATCTACTATTAATTTATTAATATACATACCTATATGTTTTTATTTTTGTAGAAAAGTAAAAAAAGAAAAAAAGAAAATAATCGACAAAATAATGGTAAGTAATTAAACCAAATAGAATTACTAGAAATAGAATGATTGCAAATTTGAAATAAGATTATTTTAGTAAATAAATTAAGAAGACTCTACACCCCTGCTGTGTTGTCTCCGTTTCACAAATGAAAAAAATAGCAAAAACGGTTTTGCCCAGGTAAGAACAACTCAGGCTGTGGTCCAAGTTAAGCAACCAAATGTTCACACTAAAAGAGGAGTACATTAAATGTGCAACATTGTTTTTAATTTTTCGAAATCACAAGTACAAAAAAAAGTTTTTATTGTTTAAAAATGCACTATTTTTGAGTTTTTTTTAACTTGAATAACTTTTTTTTAGTTCTGATATCGAAAAAATAAAAACAATGTTGCATGGTAGATGTTCTCCTCTTTATAGTGTGACAATTTGGTTGCTTAGCTTGGACTACAGCCCGAGTGGTTCTTACCTGTGCAAAATAGTTTTTGCTATGTTTTACATATGTAAGACTGAGACAACACATTAATATTTAGAATTTAAACTCAATGTAAAGTAGTTGTTTCTCTCTCACATGTATAGTTATTTATTCAAGTAAATTGTTGAAGGTTTTGATTAATAACTTAATTATTTTACCTAAACACATAAAAAGTCTAGAACTATGTTTTATAGTAACATATTTAAATTTATATTGCATTTTTCCAGTTATGAAATTGTGTAATAAGTTTCATTGTGTATTAAGGATATACATTTTATTTATATTGTCTAGAGTGTCGGTACTTAAAAAAATAAATAAAAATAAAATAAGAACAATTAGTTTTTTAATTAGGTTGGATATTTAAGTATTCATTTTGTAGAGATAATGATTAAAATGTCTCCAAAAGTGGAGTACATGTTGAGGAATGTACTACTTGTCATTTGTAGTTCACTTATCATCCATAGTTTTAATTTACATTTTACCCAAATGGTTGTTTGGTCCAACTTTTAAAGCAAATTTTTATCAAACTTTTTGTGTATCACTATAACATATTTACGTATGATAAGTGAGTTACCATATTATATTTGTAATATAGATTTCATCTTGATTTTAGAGATGGCCAATAAAACACAATTTGGTTTAAAAATCATCTACAATATTTTAATATGTAACTAATAATATTGTAGATGTTTATATCATTGAGTATATATTGTATAGAGAAACAATGTACAATAAAAATGTCCTACACTCCCAGGGAGGCGGCTAATAGATGGCACATGGAAAAATTTGTCGCGGAGGCAAAAACAGTGTAGTAATTCTACCTTTTAATGATTATTTACACATTCCCCAGTGTCAAATTAATCATTTTAATAATTACCTTTATTGTACAATGTACAATATTGCAGGAAAATGAATTATTATATTGTTATTATTATGTCAAACAATAAAAAACGATTAATAATATAACATTAATTAATTTCACGTATTAATAAATAAAATAATATTGTTAGTGACTGGTAGCGCGCTCTGTTGTCAGCGTCAATGAACTAATATTAAGAGTAGCATAAAATATCAATCATTGTTTCTCTATAAACTATATACTCAATGTTTATATGTATAGATAATCTATCTATCTATAATCTGTGTATATAAAAATATATAGCTGTCCGTTAGTCTCACTAAAACTCAAAAATGGCATTTGCATAATTTTTTTTTTGTTCTGTTCGTAACTCCCAACTCAAGGTTTGTATGAAATAACATTTCATGAAAATCCACATAAAAAATAGAGAATTTGGATGGAAAAAATAAAACATTTGCGCCATCTGTCCATCAAAAAAAAAAAAATAAACTAAATGATAATATATTTTAGTTTATTGTAAAGTTGCTATTATTATGATTGAATATAGTTTTAGACCTGTACCTATATTATATTTAGTCAAAACCATGGACTAAGATATATTGGCCTGGAAATGAGCAGCTTATCAGTGGCCACAAATGTATGTACAAGAGGCAAGTGGGGGATCTCAATGGGGACCCAGAGCTTACAACGCCAACTGTATAAAACACGGACTAAGATGAAGCTAAATAAAACAACCGATAGCGCTGAAAACCTTGGGTCCCCAGTGTGAGGAAACTTTTGGTCCCCCGACCCCATATTTACAAAAGTATCTTACGGGCAGTCCCAGGGGAGGATGGCTATTATATAATATAATTGTACGTGTCCTGAGTAACTCACTCACTGATTAACATAGATCCTAAAAAAATGATAGTTTGAGGCAAGCAATTTTCACCTTACCTTGTAAGTGCGCACTAAGATAGCTTCTTTCAAAATTCACATTTTAAAGTGGCGCTTGCACAAGTATTTTGAGATTCAAGATGATCGATGAAAATTTTTAAGTTATGAACATCATACACCGAATATATAGTGAACAAATTGAACAAAGTTTGAATCAAATAGATTTGGCACTTTTAACGGGCATTGAAGTGAACATGATCAGCTAGTATAATATACTAGCATTATATAGCACTATACACCACCGTGTCCAGTCCATACTATCTTAGTTCGTGGTTAATACTTACGTCAATATTTATAAATAATTGAATCTTTCTGTTTAGTGTATATTTTTAATTAATATAATACAACATTTATATAATTGTTATAAGTTATCTCTTAGCCAAGTTGTTTATTATCTTTTTTTTTCAGAGTAATGTTGAGAAAGGAATACCAATTATACCAATTGATATTTTACCATTTGATCCTAAGAAATGTAAGGTGATGGTTCGTGAAGATGGAACCATATACAATCTACCAAGAGATTCAATTACAACTATTTTACCTGAAATTGAAGTTGAATCTCCTCCAGTTAACAATGAATCATCTGAACAAGAAGAAAATGTATGTAGTTAAAATCCTTATATCTACAAATGTTAATAATAATACCTACTATTTATGATGTTTGGCTTATTTCTATTGATTTTTAATAATTAACGGTTGTTTTCAGGTTCAACCATCAATATCATCTGCAGTTAGTGGCAATGATTTAAATCCTGAATCATCATCTTTAAGCCCAATACTTGAGGAGGTACAAGAGTCAAAGACGGGTAAAAATAATTATTATGCCTAATAATTAATAAGTTTTTAAATAAGTTATGCTTTGTGCATTGGAGGTGAGAACAGTTTTTAATACTAGTTTATTTTAAACGATAGCTGATTTGATATTTTTAGTTTGTTGGATTCGTGAAATTAAAAACCAATAGGTATTTGGTTTATAAATTGATACAAATCATGTGCCTGTTAATTTAGTCATGAAAACTAGAATAAGGAGACCAAACATAATAGCAAGGGTATAAATCGAGGTACCAAATTAATTGAAATTAGTGCCAAGTTATAACATACAATTAATATGATATAAAATATTATATTTAAAAATATATCCGTTTAGGTATAATGGTGGTATAATTATGGTTTGACATTTAAACTGTCAAAATTGTTTTCTTTCTGTAGTTATTAAACCAAATATAATTTATTTTTAATATAAATTATATCACATAAGTCTTAACATATTGTATAAAATAAATATCAAATTTACCGCCCACGTTAAACGATTACCCATGCAATGTAATTTTAATATTGTATATTAATTTAAGAAAAATCTTAAATATTGTATATTAATATGAATTAGTCAACATCACCATGTAGATAAAATGTAAATACAATAACATTATAATAATATTTAAAATACATTTCAAAAAGGGAATTTATTTTAAATGATCTTAAAATTGTCCAAGTTCTTTAAAAATAAAAATTTTGTTCACATTTTCTGTTTGATATAAGTGAGTGTCGTTTACAAAATATGAATGTAACGCAATGAACGCATTCATTTCAAACAATGGATGTAAGTATATTTTAGTTTGTGATGGTAATTATCAATATAATGGTCATTATCAATTCAAATCATAAACATGGTTAATAGTATTGATACACATTGTGTTGTTTTTACCAAGTGATTTCTTAAAAATATTATTTATAATTGAAATCATTAGTATTACTTGCTAATTGATATGTTAAACATAATAATATATCAATTTTATTATCGACGTACACGAAGTTGGCAACCCCAAATTGTGCAATTGTTTTCAAACAACTTGTTAACAATTGTAAATTCAATCGCGGACTTTGTAAATCATCTGGGCTTAGGGAAATATAAATCAAGTTGAGAATGGCTAAATTCACGGAGCCCCCCTCGAGTGGGCCGATCGACTTGAAACTAATTGTAAACCATATTAAATTAATTATAATATGTTTTATGTGGGGTGTAATGTGCTTTTAGAAAAATGACTGCCCACCTAATTCTTATTTGCTGAATTCTTTGATGGTTTAATAATTGGCCCTGGTTCACGAGGATTTTTTTTTATCAATTCTAAAATAATTTTTATAATTTGTTCAAATTCGATCAGACTACCTTTGGAGGTGGGGGTTTGGTGAACTTATTTACCCCCACACCCAATATTTTTTTATTTCCGGTGGTTCCTGATGATTTACAAATTTCCAAAGCGTATTTACAATTAATTTAATATGATTTACAATTTGTTTCTAGTCGATCGGTCCATCTGGGGGGGGGGGGCTCCGTGAATTTAACCCTCCACAACTTGATTTTTATTTCCCGAGGTCCCGGATGATTTACGAATTTGGGGATTGAATTTACATTACAATTGTCAATTGTCTGAAAAAATTGCAGAATTTTGGGGCGCAAACTTTATTTACGTTTATAATCGGTTTGAAAAATAAAAACTGATACCTGATTTACTGATTAGTACCAATATTGATTATTGGTATTTGCCCCCCACCTAAATTAATTTCCTTAGAGAATACTAGCATTTACTGTATTTTACTTTCTTTGTTGTATTATGTTCGTAACAATATTTGGTATTCGTTTAGTATGTGACCTACCAGACCGCTTGACCTACCGTATTGGGTATTCATTTAGTATATGATCCACAGGACCATTAATTAATTTAAAAACAGTTAAATTAAAAATCATAAAATTATGTTAATAATTATTTAACTAATATATTAGTAATACAATATACAAATATAAAATAATACAGGATTACATTTAACAATGTCAAAATGAGTTAAACAAAATGAATGAAGACACATAGGTACCTATAACAGCAATAGGTATGTCAAAACTATTCAATAGATTTCATAAAATTATGTTGTTATAAAAAAGTTTTATTTTATTTAAATTATATTTTTAGAAATACACTTTTTGTATTTTACTTAAATTTCAAAAATTCATCTTACCTGTTAATAGATCAGTACCCGTACATAATATAGATAATCGTCTTGGTAGGTCACATACTAAACTTGATTTTCACTCTGTAGGTCACATACTAAACGAATACCCAATATTTTTAATTGATTTAGTAAATGTGTACAATTTTTAAATAAAATGTTTGTTATCCTTATTTTTCAGACTCAACACAAAACTATGATACTTATTCTACCAAAGAAAAAGTTGCCATAGATTTCTTGGCCAAGAATATGACCAAGAACAAGTATCAAAACAATTTCATTCAAAATTATGAAGGTATAAATTAAGTTTATTACCCTTGTGTTATACAACTTATATTTCACTATCAAAATCTATTTGATGGCTTTAATCTTAATATACTATACAAAATACTACAATTTTTATAAAAATTTAATATATTGTATAGTATATTATAAAATGTTGTATTCAGTTCAAGGCTATATAGATTTTGACTTATTTTATTCTTTACATTTAAATAAAAAATCTGATTTGGTAGGGCTCTGATTAGCCCTTATGTAAGAATGCTGTTGAAAATATGATTTTTATGTTTGAAAATTCTCAGAAAATATTTTGGTTCAAAATATAATAAACGATAAAAAAATTAAATTTTTTTAATAAGTTATGATAATGTGTGTTAACTGTTAAAAATATTGCTACTCTGGTTATAATATCTGTATAAATTAGTTTTGCGTAGGACAAGTTCAAAGAGACAGTATCCACAGTAGCCTTACCAAATTCTTACTACATATTTATGTTATTTTTTTGATAACTTTAAGACAGTCTAAATTATTAATTTGTACGTAATGTATTAATTTTGTTTTTTCATTTGCTTATTAAAAAATAATGATTAAGTATTGATATGAAAAAAATAAATATACTTCAACACAGATAAAGTTATCTCTTCTATCTAATGTGAAAATCTGGTTAATTTACTGTACTTAATGTACTTGTAAGTTTTTTCCTTGCGGAATTTTTTTCCTTTATAATTTCACTATTACACAAAATCGTTGTTGGTACTGACATGAGACTATTTTTAAAATATTTTTAATTATATTTAATTATACCATAGAATATAATGTTATGTTCTATGAATATATTTAAAATTGCATGTTTTAGTTTTTCACAAACTGCCATTAAAATTTCCTGTATTAAACTCCTTAAATAATCCTCTTAATTTCATTTTAGATGAAAAATGAATGAATTATAAGTAGTAAGAATTAAACACTAGACAAAAATTATAAAAAAGATACCTGACAGTTTTTAGTCACTTTATTGTTAGGAATTAGGTTAGGCGTTAGGTCATAAGAATCATGAAACAATTCCTTTTTACACTTAATTTATAAATCATTTTTTAATTACAAAATACAAATAAGTAGTAATTATAAAACCTAATAATATACAAATGGGTAATTTATAATCCTTCAAACGATACAATACAATTCAATACAATTACCATCCCTAAAATATTAGTATACATATATTCTACTCAATCCAATAGCTTAAAATATTTAACTAGTATGACAAGTCATACTTATTATATAATTGAATAGGTATTGTGGTATTTGATCTACTAATCTACTCACATTAATTTTATTCTCTTGGTTAATTTGCTCCTATCCCAAAAACCCACCACATAGGTAACCAAAGTAAATAGAAAATTATTGTTACTTTTGTTTGCAAAATTTAATGTAGAGGTTATATGGACAAAGTGGTTTATGTACAGTTTATATAATTAGTAAATTTATTTTAATTTACATATTTGTATATTAATATAAGTTAAGATATTGTGAATTTTTATGTTTCTTGCATTGTGTTCTAAATTGTATTACTATTGTACATCATGATTACATTTTCGGCATTTTACTAAAAACTAAAAGTAAAGAAATAATTTTTTTATTTTAATCATTGAAATATAATATACATTTTTAAAATAGTCACTGTATTTTTTTTAATTATATATATATATTTATATATAAAATAAAAATATACCTTTGGTCCTAACATTGATTATACGAACTATAGATTACTCGCTGACCTATTTTTGGGTGGGCATACTGCAGTCACTATAAACCTTTGCCGTAGTGCTCATAGACAAGTTTTACCTGATCTAATATTACAGCCGCTGTAAAAAGCGCTAGTAGTCTCCTTTTGTGTTATTAGTATTGTAGTCGATTCTTATTGCCATCTAGTGAGTAGATAAAAATGGATTCGCTTGCACCTCATTTATTTCTAATTGAAGTGATGCATCTTTATTAACTGTGTTGGTGAAATCGGCCATAAATAGTAGTAGAAAAATACGTTTGAAAAAGAATAAATATTGTCAAATGCATATTTTAGCTTCTATAATTATAATTTTGAGAATATTATACAATTGTTTACAGTTTCTACATTGTTAAATAAAAATAAAAATGTCAAATGAGGTACTCAGTAAAGCTATTGCATAGCGTATGTATCATGTAATTATAACTATTAGTTTTTGTATGATTTGAATTCAAGTTACACTGATTGAGCGCTATGACCGAAGGTAGATAAACACCGTAAATCGTATATTATAGGTACATTTAGGTATTCCGCAACGTTTCCGTCGAATTAAAAATTCATTTTCTTATATCTGACTAGCTATACACGATGGGTGTAATACGCCGCGGCAGAAAATGTCCGGTCGGCTTGCGTATTTTGCAACAGCGGAAAACTCGGCGTATTACGCGTCCTGTAAATACTATTGTTTATAATCAATGATAATACCAACGCAAGACAACGGACGACAACTGCGAATGTGATCAAATAGTATACAATAAATTTTACGTTAACTGTTCACGTCAGTTGTCGACGATGAACTAATGTGAGTGACGCTCTCGCTGGCAACGTGTTCACGGTCCTTGTTCGTATGAAGCCACGCCCCCATCGCACATGTTGGCCTATCGTTGCGTAGCAGGTATACTACACGCATGCGCCTTATAACATCTAACGGTCACACTTTTTCGTTACGAAAATTTCTTTTCAGTCCCTAGGCCCGCGATAGAAACTATGAAATAGCTTAAAAATGTGTATTGTCAATTGTGTATAAAATTGTAATACATTTATTATTGTCAAGCAGGTGTCAATCATAAACTTATTATATGTTAGTTGCATAAGCAAAACTAGACAATTGTATTAGGACAGGCCAGATGATTGAAATTATTTCTCAAAAATATCATTTATATGTCTGTTTCAGATTTTACATCCAATTATAAATCTAATTTGAATCCTCTTGAAACAGCAGGTTCATCAGAAATAACAACCACGGCTTACAATAAAAGGAAAACAAATGACTTTGATGCGGATAGTTTTGACGGTAAAGTATAATATATTAATAAACTCTTAATATTGATTTATTTCAGTAATATTCCATTTATATAAATAATAAAACAATAATGAAACTAATAAGAATATTTTATAATATCATTTGTTTCTAGTATATGGTAGCATAAAAAAAATAAAATCGCTTAAGAAAAAGTCAAGTACAGATGATCTTGAACAGGATATTATTGATTCTCATTTAGGTGAGTTAATTTATATTTATATTCTTATTATATACTGATATGGGGGATGGAGTGATCAAGTGGACTACAGCGTTGGTTCTAACGAGAACCGTCGCCAGTTTGAATCTTGGCTACGGGTGGCATACCTCTCTGTGGGCAGGCAACTGTTTAGACAGCGAGATCGCCATCCTCCAACCGTGCATGGCAGAAACCTACGGGTGCCAAATTAGAACTTCTGCCAAAAAGGCTTCCGAACTAGGCCTTTGGGGCTACTCCCGGACATAGTACCGTACGATAAAAAAAAAAAAATATACCAATATTAATTACCATAAATATTATTCAGGTTTCATATTCAATTTAGTTAAAAAATGTTAAATAGATTGCAAAATTTAATTTATTCAATTTGCTCGTGTTACCTATATATTTTAAATGTAATTTCTTATTATAAGTATTAAATAAAAATAAAAAATGTTGTTATAATTTTTTGTTTCAGATCTTGCATCTGATAATAGTAGTTTTGGTTCAGAGAAATTAGATCAAACTGAACCTAATAATTCATCCATACAAACCACTATATTAATTAATCATCTTGAAAATAAAAATATTAACGGTAAGATATTTTTTTATCTGCAGTGAGCTATTTCCGCTGATATTGCAAGAAATGCCATCTTTTAGTGTTGTTTATATTCTCAGCTTTGGTGTGGCATCCTCTTAAATATAATACAACAAAAGATTATTAAGCAGTATGTTGAAATATAAATAAATAGATAAATATTCTATGTTTAGAAAATCTATGGTTAAAAAACTGTAATATTGTAAGAAAGTTTTATAATTTATTAAATATACTACTAATTTGCAATTTATAAATATAGCATTATAGTTTCATATAGTATCTTCATTAATTATGCCCCATTTATATTAAAGTTTGACTCAGGTCTCAGATTATGATTGATTAACATATTTACTAGGTTTAGCCAAAGGCGACTTTTAATATTCCAATTATTGTTAGTGTCATAATGAATACCATTAATACAAAAATATCATATTTTTTATTCTTGGATATCACAGCTGAAAAAATAAATATTCAAAATTGCCTCTGGCATAACCTAGTAAACTTGTTAATCAATCATAATCCGTTTTCAAAAATAAAATCCGTCAAATTAAATTCCTCCAGTTTTGTGTCTATTTCAATCAAATTTGTGACTTATTGATCTAAAAGTCACTTTTTTTTTCATCGACTAGAGCCCCCTTAAGTGCTTAATATTTAACTATATAAAGGTAAAAAAGGAATCAGTTCAGTTTATTGCTTTGATAAATTCTACCTTCTTTACATTTTTTCCTAATTCTACTTCATACAATGAATTTCATATTTTCTGTATTATTTGAATTGGACTATTTCTTATTTTATATACTTTTTTTTTGCATATGACATATTTTTGGCATAGATAACATTTAGAATACAAACAAACATTACAAAGTGGAGTAATTAGCTAAATAAATGAAAATAAATAAATAAATATAATAAATAATAAACTAACTAAATAGGTAACATAAATCTGGTAACTAAGTTTAAGTGGTTCGATACCGTGATTTTCTGTATTTGTCTAACACACACGCAACATAGGATTTTAGACTGTTCTTTGCCAAACATACCAATTGATCTAATGAAGCTATAAGAATTCTAAAAACAGATTTGAATTTGTCGTCAAGTCTACTTGAAATTAACGTTCCCACATTTTAGAACTTTTGATTTTAACTTCTCCAAATATTAACATACGACAATTTTTAAATACTCATTTTTAATATGACATTTTATAGAAATTTGGAGAATAATATCAAATATGAGGGAAAGTCAATTTCAAGTAGACTTGACAACAAATTCAAATCTGTTTTCAGATTTCTTATTGTTTGAATAGACCAATTGGAATGTTTGGTTAAAAACACGTCTAAAATACTATGTTGGGTGTGTGTTAGACAAAAACAAAAAATCACGGTATCGAAGCCCCTTCAAAAGAAATTTTAAATCGACTAAAGACAACTTGCTAGCTTACAATTGCACTTCTACATTTTTCAACCATAGAATCGTTTTTGGTTCCGCTTTGTGGAGTTTTTCAATTCCGATGAATTTTGTTCTAAGGTACATGACTAGAGTATATGTCTAGAATATGAAAGACTGTTTGTATCTTGCCACATTTGTAGTAGGGTGACTAACTCGGCCCCATTTAAAATAATTGTGGCTACACAATTGCCCTGTAAGGTTCTGATTTTGTTGAAGGTTGTCTAGAGTCTTCTTGGGAGCTCAAAACCAGGAATTTTAATTTCTGGATTACATATCAGGAAGCAGTTACGACGTACCTCTGATGCTTTTCATCTCTCCTATTTCGCTACTAGAGTTTGATTGATTTCCTATTTTCCATATGGGAAGTCTGGATTCCAGCCTCTTTGATGGATGATTCATGATATTTTTGAATAATGGGAGGTGTTGATTATTTGTAATGAAGTTTAGAATACACTTGATGCACTCTCTCCTTTGCAGATCTGGAGGGGTAATGATAGCAAGGACAAGGAGCCATTGTGCTTGTGTATAACTTGGTTGAGGTCGGTATCCCATATGGTGTAGCGGGCATTTAAGCACAGACGCTTACCAAGTACTCAGCTGAACTATACACTTACCCGATGGCAGAATCGCTGCATCACACCACAACTGGTTACGGCAAGTTTCGCTATGCTATTGATTCTGGTTATAACTTTATTTTTAACACCCTCCAGGTTTCGCCGGTATGTGAGGGATCTATCAATCTTAATTTCTAGGTACCTTGGGTGTTCTTCATTTATAATATTGTAGTTGCCAATTCGTAAGTCTAGTTTTTTGTGGGCATCTCAATTGTTAAGGTGTAAGACAATAGAGATGGATTTTTTAGGGTTGAGAGTAAGCTAACAGTTCTTGAGATATTCCAAGATTTTGGTTAGGTGTTCGTTTGATTGTGGAGAATGATCTCTTGTGCCATAATGTTGTCTGCGTATATGAATTTTCGAGCGGTGTTATGTACAGTGTTAGCTGTGCATAATATATTAAACAGAATTTGCGAAAAAATGGACTTGGGGTGGCCCATTTTGCAAATACTTGTGTCAGCTTTATTTTCCATTGAGGGATACTTAAAATTTTCAGCGGTTTTACAGCATTTCTTCTATAAGCTTGAGGGTACTTTTACACTTGATAATTTTGGAAAGTTTTGAGTAGTAGGCCATTTTTCCATATGGCTTCAGAGAAGTCAAGAAATATTGTACTTGATTTTTCCTTATTCTGGAAGCCGTTTTGGACTTATTTGGTGAGAGCCAGTACATGATCGCCGCAGCTTCCTGAAACCAGACTGTTCAACAGATAACAGTTCCTGTCTATTATTGGTTCAAGATGGGCAAGTAAAAGTTTTTCAAAAACTTTATGATGTTGACAGTAGCGAGATGGGTCTGTAGCTGCTTGGGTCATCAGCAGGTTAATTTGGTTTCAAAAATTTGATTACTTTTGCCTCGTGCCAGATCTTAGAAAACGTAGAGGACTGTGTGATTTCGGTTGCCAAATTCGCCACCCATGTCCTTCATTTTGGGCATTTATTTTTAGGAATTCAGACTCAACAGATTTAACGTTTTCAACGTTGTCAAGTGCCTGCTCTACATCGTGTCTGTGAACTCAGCAGTGAATCACATTGGCTAGGCTCGTCTTTGTATATTCTATGAAGTTCGGTATTTCTTTGTTTGGATGGTTTAATATTTTATATGTTAAAGAGTATGGTGGATATACCACTAGCTGATGATTCAGTTTCTTTACTAGTAGGTTCAGCTCGAATATGTTAAGTACAAATGGTCAAGTCTACTCAACCATCTATTTTTCATTTCTTCATACAGAAATTCAATCAGCTCTGATACCAACAACTCATTGCCTGACTGTTCATATACCGTAAGAGCGGAATACTTTGCTCCAAATATATTTCTTTTTTAGTTTGAACCTATACTATAGCTTCAATAACAAAGATAAAAATTACCTGTTCGCGTTGTTTTATATGTATAGATGTTAAGAGGTAAAAACAATTCAAAAAAATCCGAATGTCGTACTATTGACTTACTTATTCCCAAAAGTTTGGAGCATAGTTAAAATACATTGCAGGTTACATTGCACAATGATTAAAATTACCTTACTTTAATGCATATAATAACTATTGGTGCAATGTTTAGTGCTTGTGTTTTAACTTATTTGAACCTATACTTAATATAATTTAATAATATATATATTTTTTTTTTTTAGTTGATTAAAAGTCTTTTTTCAATACATTTTAAATTAAATTTCAATCCCCTAGATTTTGGATAACTTTTCCGTTATGTATTTTTGTGTTTTTGAAAACCATTTTTTACATGATATACATCTTGGAGGAAAACTAATAGATTCATGTCCGTAATGTTTGAAAAAATTAGTAATGTTAATAAGAATAATATAAAAAAAACTACAATCTCTGATCTCAAAATCGTAATGTGCTACGATTGATATCAATAAAAATTTTTTTTGGAGCAATGTTTAACCCCTGGAGTAAAGTATTCCGCTCTTACGGTACCTAATTTGTTTCTATTCATCTTACTATCACTTTCAACATAGATCAACTCATTATCTTGAAATGGGTGATCTGTTCAATTTATCTTTTCAATGTTTTGCTTGTAATTCAATGCTTATCCTTCTCTATCTTTTTGTAAATTATGTTCTTCTTGAATTTCCACCAGTACATTCTATGATGTTTTGTCAAAACTATGGTACTAATGTTGTAACACTATTTATTGTTCTGTTATATTTATTTCACAATTGGTTACTACATTTGCCCATGCTTTCTTTTCACTTTTTACAAAGTATTACATTCACTAAAGATTGATCGAATCGTTCATTTAGATTTAGAACAGTTAACAAATGTGAATATTAATACAATATTCGTACTCTTCAAATAACTTTTAATTTCTTTAGAATTTATAAGATAGGATTATCTCAATTTGGTGTTGTTTGGCTATGTCGTCAGTTAGTTGAACAAATTTCTCTAGCATTTTGAGTGTTATAAGTCAACACATAGTGAACACGTCTTTGGAAAAATGTTCTATGAAGATTTGGAAAGATTTATTGACTCACAAACCATCCACAGAGCCTATAGACATCATTTTGTATGACTCCATTGCTGAACCCAACTCTGAAAGTAAAACAATATTGGTCTGCATTTTATGGGCTTAATTTGTTATACAATGTTATATTTTATATTCATTAAAAAATGTATAAATGAGTTTATCCATCATCTTCCATGTCTTTAAAGTTATAATAATAATAATATACCTTAATTTTTCATCCGAATGATTAATGCCAATATAATAATCTTATTATTTTAAAGTCATGGATTTCCTGAATTTATTCAAGATCAAATTGCAGAATATGAAAATTCTGTTTATTTTTGAGGTTTAAAAGCTGATACACATTTCTTTTTTCAATAACTTTTTTTGACCTTTTTGTTACTTTCTCTTTTGCTTGTTGGTTAATCATTATCCTTTCTTTATTTTTTTTTTATGTTTTTGATCAAAGTATTTCTTATTATAAGATTGATTCTACAGTAAATTATCCGCAGCTGCTCTCCTTATTCCCTCCTAATTCTTTTCTTTGTCGATCTCTAACAATAAGTTAAGAAGAGTTTCATCAGTAGATTATTTAATGCATATTGAACCTCATCAAGTACCTTTCCCCATTTATTCAATGCCACATCCTTTTTTACAAAATTTCAGTTATACCCCGGTACATTCGTTTTACTTGGCCATTTGCTCGAGGTGTTGTCGTTGCAACTTGAATTAACTTTATCTTGTCTATCTGAAACTACCTGTCTCGGTTTGCTATTACATCTGAAATAGTCACTCATAGCTTTAATTACCTCTACTGTATTAATAGTTTACATGGATATAGTATAATCTAACAAACGTTGAAAACCCATCAACAATAACCAACAAATATCTATTTTTCTTACCAGTCTTCTGAAACGGACCTTAATGGTCCATTTTAATTTTATCAAACTGTATTGGAGTCTTAGGGATAGAATGTAATTCACCTTCCTTCTTCCCATACAGCGTATAGTGTAAAGTTGACTATATACAATTTGAAACAAAATGTCCTCGTGCGCAGATCTTATCACATTAACTTCCACACTACTTGGAACATAAAATAACAGCCCACTTTTGTATTTTCTATAAACCAAACCATTTATCATATCAAAATAATTATCCTCTGACCTAATTAACCGTTAATTTAACTTATATTTATCTCTGTCCTTAATTTGTTTGATTGACAACGGTTGCTCAAAAGTATTGTCAGTTGATATTAATGCATTTGTATTTTGACCGAACCCATCAACATGTTTCATCTTACCACATGCATGATCTTCAATACTAAAACCATAGTCTTGAAATAATAAAGGACATCTTGATATCCTGCGATTAAAATATTTATTGTTCATGGTCAACTTGAAACTCTCACAATTAGTGAATACAATAAACTTAATCCCATTGAGAAAACATGAAAACGTTTTATTGGGTACACTAATGATAAACACTGCAATTTGTAACTATGATATCTAGCTTCAGTTTCATTGGTACGTTTGCTATAATACAATTTCAGATGCCTTATACCAGCCGCGGTTCCCAAACTTTTTTGATAGTGACTCTTATAGATTTAACTTTTGGCGATCGAAAAATTGTGTGTTTTTTTATTTTTGTGTCTTGTATCACCATTTGGGACAGTAAAAACGCTTCGATATTCAACCTCAGTATCTTATTTAATGCTTCAGTTAGTTTAAAATTCCCAATAGTTTTCAAAAGTGCTGAGAAAAACAAAAAAAAAATATCAGGAGCCTTGTATTAAATTTTTACACTTTTTGGCCCAACAGATAAAACTTTATTGATATTTATAGAAATAAAAAAACTAAAAAAAATTGAAAGCTTTAAATGTGCATAAACAGCTCAAATAGAGTCAAAATATTTTCAAAATTGTATGGTGTATAGGAAATGCTAATATAAATATTCAGTGAAATTTTCAAGTATCTAAAGTTATTCGGTTTTGAATTACAACAAAATAAGGAAATTGCAACATGAGAAATCGAGTGAATATTCAATGTTGTAAAAATTTGAATTTCAAACACTCATAAAAATTTAATTTGACTTTCTTATAGACATTTTTTTTTTGATAAAGGTAGATAATCTTATAAAGAATTTTGTATTACATTTTCAAATCTTAGATTTAAAAAGAAAAAATTTTTACGAATTTTTAACTCAAAATAATTTGCTAATTTTCGAGATTTTTAACCACCGAATGATGCGTTTAGCAAATGAGAACCTCTCGAGTCTTTAATCTTTAGTCTTTGTTTTATATCAATATTATTATAATGTTTTGTCTGTATCTTATTCCATTAACTGTACTTTGGGCTAGTCCCGTAATGTAAAATAAATAAATAAATAAATAAATAAATAAATATCATTGAATTCAAAATTAACACCATCTATTACAATCACCCACTTGTAACCTACTTAATAGCAGAGCAACATCCATTTACCACCTTTTTTTTTATTAATTAATTATTACATTTAGTGTGGAAGGTGAAATATAATTCTAAAGGTGCTTTAGTTATTTGGTTTTTCATTTTATTCACCTAAATTTGATTGACTTGAGTTAAATTAACATTTCTATTTTTTTTTTTGTTTGATACCGCAAAACAATACGGAGTGTTACCGACCTAGTATATTAAGGGTTTCATTATTTCATAATGCAAGGATAATTTCATCAAACAATTTACTCAATATTTTACTTTATGACTATCTCGTTATTTTCCAAGGCTGGTCAAGTTAACAATTTTTTTTAACTTGTTAAGTTAAGTTAAAAGTTACTCATATTTTTTAAGTTAACTCGTTAAGTTAAAAGTTAACTTTGAAAATAGTAACCTAACTTAGTTTGAAGTTAAAATGTTCTAAATTGCAATAATAAAAAATTCCAGGCACATAATATGGTTTATTAGATAGTTTTTCTTTACACTCAAGAAAATTACTGGGGAAATTTAAAATGATACATCAAAATAAAAACCTCATTCAAACATTTGAATTATTCTTCAGATAAAAATTAACTTAAATTAGATACTTATGTGATTTCAGTATTTTCTTTGTGTAATAATTTATCCTGTAAATTATGGTAAACCTATTACAATATGATTAATTCTGTATGTGATAGACATAGAACATTCAACCAGTGGCGTGTATACAAATTATTTTCACTATGGGCCAATTTTGGCAATTTATCACTATTCAAGCATAGCACGACTAACATAGCCATAACTATACATATTTTAGGGAGCTAGGTTATAATTATGAAATATGCAATACAAATGAAAATTGCGCAATTTAATTTTATACTTATGTAAAATTAATTCTTTAATTCTTTTTTAAAAAATATTGAAAATTTCATATATATATATTTGAATGTTATCTAACTGTGAATTTAACATCAAAGTCATCAAAGCAAGTCCTGACAATCATTTCCTTGTTGATTCCTCAAAAACGATTTTAATCAACAGGCTAAATTATTCATGGTAGAAAAACAGTAAACAGTGGAGATATACATGAAATGCTTTAATTGAACCTACAATTTCACTATGGGCTCTAGCTCTACCCCCTATATTCGCCACTGCATCAACCTCTAATAGTAATCATATCATTCCTTTTTAAGAGCATAATCTATTAGTGAACCATTTAAAAGTTACATGCGACCTAACATTTGACCAACCTTTATCTGATTAGACTTAAAAATTAATTTTACCATTCAGACCAATTATTTTATGATATTTTCTGTAAATTTAAGTTATAACATTCTCTGACTCCATTTTCTAGAAACAATTGTATATTTTTATATATTTTATATTTTTTTGATGTCATCTGTAATCTTATATTTCACACTGTTAATCAAACAGCTATAGCTACTTTCTGGTATTCTGTTGTTAAACCCTTAATTTATCAGTAGACATATAGATCTTAATAAGAACAGCTATAAATACATTGACTGCTTAGAATATATTCCAGTCACTAATAAATTCTATTACTAAAAAGTTTTGGAAAAACTGCGCAACCTCGGAATGGTAGGAACACTGTGATTGGCTAGTAGTCGGCAGCCGACGAGTGCACATGCGCGAACAGCGATAAGTTTTGGTAGACTTTTCAAACTAATTGGATAGAGTATAACTGAATTAAAAAAAATCAACCATTTAAATCAAATTTGAATATATTCATATTTTTAGAGAAATAAACTTCTACAACTGTGTCCAGCTTATTATCAATTAGCACTACTGATGAGCAATTAATACTATAATAATTAATAACTATACAAAATCTAGTTGATATGCTATCTACTGCTATCAATAATACTTTTTTTTTTTTATAAAACTGTTAATAGTATTTATATTTACTGGAATATGAAAACGCTTCAACTTCTAATACAAAAAAACAATACAAATATAAAAGAAAGTAAACAATTACAAATTAGAATTGAGTTGTTAACATTTGCGCAATTTGGTGGTGCTTAGGGGATTAGTAGTCACCAGAATTTCTGCCAAGTCCTCTCAATTGAAAAGTTCATACTAAACATAGATATATAATTTTTAGAAAATTTTATGGGTTGGGGGCCTTTCTCCTACTACAAAAATGTGGGCTATTGCACCTAGGGTTGATAAAAAAAGAGTTACAGCCTGAAATAAATTTTGGTTTTATTAAAAGTTTAAATATATATTAATAAGTATTTTAATATATTATATTAATTTAAATTATTATTTATTATTAGTACAAATTGATGATTTCCGTGATGAAATTATAATTTCTGAAACAAAGGATCAATTAATTATGGATGATCAACAGGATACAATTAATTCATACACTGATTTAGTTGGTGATAAGTCAAGTATGTGTGCTGTATATTAAGCATTAATTCTTTTGAAGTATATTTATACTAATAGATTTAGTTTATTAACTAATCATATCTGTTTTTATTTATTTATTAATTTAATTATATTAAACTGGGCTTTCAATTAAGTCAATGCTCAGATTTTCTTGTTTCTTAATTTGATTAGATTAAATGTATTGTATTGTTCTAAAATTTGTTTTTATATGCCTAATAGGTTATGAAATTAATAACCAACCAAATAAAACGGAAATTATGTTGAAAGATAACACAAATTTAATTCTTACAGACAGGTCCTTACATGAAACAAATTTAGACACATCTGAAAAAAATACATTATCTGGTAATATAACATTAATAAAAATATCTATTTAGTGTATTTACTGTGTTAGATATTAATTTTCAAATATTTTATACCAAGTAGAAACCAATTATTTTGAAGAAGTTACAACTTCCAAACCTGAAGAGCAATTAAGGTTTGACGATCAACAACATTTGATTAACTCAAATTGTGATGCAATTGGTAATAATACAAGTAAGTGAACTTTAAATATTTAAGAGCCAATAATCCTTTCCCTGTAATAACCTTCATTGTGATATGTTGAATAACATGTTAAATATCTTATTCCCCTATATTATTATATGATAAAGAATATTAAAATATGATAAATAATCCCTATATTCTGACCTAACAGATGTGACTCAACTAAAAATGACATATTTTGGGATATATTGAGAGATAAAGGTGTAATGAAAATTTAATAATAACAATAGTTGTAATCTTCATGTTAATAATTATATTAAGGCTATTTTTGTTTGAATTTATATGTGGTTCATATCCTATTGTTACTACATTTTGGATTATTTTTTATTTGGTAGTTTAATTTTAAATTGTATTTATTTATTTGAATCTTAGTTGGTTAAAAAAAAAACAATACAAAGCAAAGGAAAGTAAACAATTAGAAATTAGAATTGAGTTTATAATATTTGCTCAATTAAGGGGTGCTTGAGAGGGGGACTGATTCTAAGTCCTCCAAATGTCAGCCAAGTCCTCTTAATTAAAAACATCATACTAAGCCTAGATATATAATTTTTGGAAAATATTATGGGTTGGGGCTAAAATCCCTATGAAAATATGTGCTATTTGCGCCTAGGGTCGATAAAAAGGAGTTACACCCTGAAATACATATTGGTTGTATTAAAAGTTTAAATATATAAGTAAGTGTTTTAATATATTTTATTAATTTAAATTATTATTTATTATTAGTGCAAATTGATGATTTCCGTGAAGAGATTATAATTTCTGAAACAAAGGATCAAGTAATATTGGATGATCAACAAGATTCAATTAATTCATACACCGATTTAGTTGGTGATAAGTCAAGTATGTGTGCTGCATATTAAGCATTAATTCTTTTGAAGTATATTTATTTCAACAGATTCAGCTTATTAACTAAATATATTTGTTTTTATTTATTTCTTAATTTAATAATATTAAAGTTTCACTTTCAATAAGTCAAAGTCCAGATTTATTTGCTTCTAAATTTGATTAGATTACATGTACTGTATTGGTTTAAAATTTGTTTTTATTTTCCTAACAGGTTATGAAATTAATAACCCATCAAATAAAACGGAAATTATGTTGAAAGATAACACAAATTTAATTCTTACAGACAGGTCCTTACATGAAACAAATTTAGACACATCTGAAAAAAATACATTATCTGGTAATATAACATTGATAAAAATATCTATGGAGGGTATTTACTTTATTAGATATTAATTTTAAAATATTTTATAATAAGTAGAAACCCCCGTAGAAACCAATAATTTTGAAGAGGTTACAACTTCCAAACCTGAAGACCAATTGAGGTTTGACGATCAACAACATTTGATTAACTCAAATTGTGATGCAGTTGGTAATAATTCAAGTAAGTGAGCTTTAAATATTTAAGAGCCAATAATCCCGGCCTTGTTATAACCTCCATTGTGATATATTGAGTAAAATGTTTAATATATTATTCTCCTATATTATTATATTATAAAGAGTATTAAAATATTGTTTATGATCTCTATATTCTTATCTAACTTAAGATGCAATTCAACTAAAAATGATTTATTATGAGATATATTGAGAGATAAAGGTGTAATTAGAATTTAATAATAAAATAAGTTGTATCTACATGTTAATAATTATATTAAGGCTATTTTTGTTTGAATTTATATGTGGTTTGTTTCCTATTGTTGCTATACTTTGGATTATTTATTTTTTGGTAGTTTAATTTTAAATTGTATTTGTTTATTTGAATCTTAGTTTGTTAAAAAAACAATAACAATTTAAAAGAAAGTAAAAAATATCATACTAAGCATACCTAGATAAACCATTTTTAGAAAATATGGGTTATGAGGCTTTAAGCCCCCTAAAAAATGCTGGGTATTTTTGCATAGGGATGATAAAAAAAGAGTTACAGCCTGAAATATATTTTGCTTTTATTTAAAGTTTAAATATATTCATAGGTATTTTAATATATTATATTAATTTAAATTATTATTTATTATTAGTACAAATTGAGGATTTCCGTGAAGAGATAATAATTTCTGAAACAAATGATCATTTACTATTGGATGATCAACAAGATTCAATTAATTCATACACTGATTTAGTTGTTGATAAGTCAAGTAAGTGTGCTGTATATTAAGCATTAATACTTTTTAAGTATATTTATACTAATAGATTTAGCTTATTAACTAATCATATTTGTTTTTATTTATTTATTAATTTAATTATATTAAACTGGGCTTTCAATTAAGTCAACGCTCAGATTTTCTTGTTTCTTAATTTGATTAGATTAAATGTACTGTATTGTTTTAAAATTTGTTTTTATTTTCCTAACAGGTTATGAAATTAATAACCCATCAAATAAAACGGAAATTATGTTGAAAGATAACACAAATTTAATTCTTACAGACAGGTCCTTACATGAAACAAATTTAGACACATCTGAAAAAAATACATTATCTGGTAATATAATATTAATAAAAATATCTATGGAGTGTATTTACTGTGTTGTATATTAATTTTCAAATATTTTATACCAAGTAGAAACCAATTATTTTGAAGAGGTTACAACTTCCAAACCTGAAGAACAATTAAGTTTTAACGATCAACAACATTTGATTAATTCAAATTGTGATGCAATTTGTAATAATTCAAGTAAGTGATCTTTAAATAGTTAAGAGCCAATAATCCTGGCTCTGTTATAACCTCCATTGTGATATGTTGAATAAAATGTTAAATATCTTATTCCCCTATATTATTATATGATAAAGAATATTAAAATATGATAAATAATCCCTATATTCTGACCTAACAGATGTGACTCAACTAAAAATGACATATTTTGGGATATATTGAGAGATAAAGGTGTAATGAAAATTTAATAATAACAATAGTTGTCACGTTCATAATTATATTAAGGCTATTTGTGCTTAAAATTATTTTGTGGTTCTTATTCTATCGTTACTAAATTTTGGATTATTTATTATTATTTGGTAGTTTAATTTAAAATTGTATTTATTAATTTGAATCTTAGTTTGTAAAAAAAAAGAATACAAATGTGAAGGAAAGTAAACAATTGAGTTGTTACATTTGTACTATTTTTTGGTGCTTAGGGGAGATTAAACTCACCATAATTTCTGCCAAGTCCTTAAAGTTTATACCAAGCATAAATATATCATTTTTAGAAAATATTAATTTTTGGGGAGCTCAATCCCCCTGAAAAATTTGAACTATTTGTGCCTTGTGTTGATAAAAAAAAGGGTTACGGCCCGAAAAACATTTTGGTTACCGTAAGGTGGGGTTACTTTGATCATTAATTTTCAATTATTTTAGTTTTATACTTATTGTACTAATAACCAACTGAAATATATAACATTTAATTATTAATAATTATTCTACATTATACCTTTAACTGAAAATTTCTCAAACCAAATTTTTTTTTTACATTTTTACATTAGTTATAACTAATATTAGTTATTGATCAAACTTACCCACCTTTTGGGGGACTTTGATCGCACCCCTGAAAATGCGTATAAACATGGGTACAGTCATCAAAGTGATCATTCTCGCCCCACAAAAAAATCGGTTCGGTAATTTTTGAGTTTTGATAGAAAAAATGTTTTGTAGTAAAAAATCAAATGATCAAAGTCGCCTCTTAATGTCAAACTCACCCCACCTTACGGTACATTAAATATTTAAATTTCATATATTTTATTAATTTAAATTATTATTTATTATTAGTACAAATTGATGATTTTCATGAAGAGATTAAAACTTCTGAAACTGAGGATCAATTAATATTTGACGATCAAAACAAATTATATAACTCAAATTGTGATGCAATTGGTAATAATTCAAGTAAGTGAGCTTTAAATAGTTAAGAGGCAATGGTCCTGGCTCCCTTATAACCTAAAATGTGATATACTGAATAAAATGTTTAATTAATTATACTCCTATATTTTTATATTATATAGAGTATTATAATATGATTTACGCATTTAACATTCAATTTTTCAATTTTTTTTTTAAATTATTGTTTTTAAAAGTTAATAGACCAGTAGAATGTGTTTCATACATTTTCACTTTGGTTGCTATTGCTCATGACGTCCCTGTTTAAATTGTTGAATAAACCACAAAAAGTTTATGCTTTTAAGCCGAAACCAGGTGTACAGATTTCTGTTTATATCTTAACTTACCTTACTAGTAATCATGTACCTCTAGTGTAGTTTAGATTAATTTTTTTTTCCAAATAAGTTGCGTGTATAGACATTTCCAATATGTTAATTTTAAAGCAGTATAAAGTATTGTGGCCTCTAGAACCATTACTGTGGTCTATGAAAACAATTCTTTATATTCTTACAATACAAAAATTATACATTTAAAATACAAAATTTAAAAGTACTGTTACTAATTTTTATAAATAAATTATGTTGAAGAATATCTATAACTGGGGTCACCAATTGGTGGACCTTCTCTGGAGTAGTTTTCACACAAAAAATGAATTGTTTTCTTTTATAATCGTCTATTTTAAGAATAAATTTTTTAAGTAATAATATTATTAGAATAAATAAATAAATACAAATTTGAAAAAAAAGTTTATTTTCTAACCTAAGTAAAAGTCATTAAAACGGTTTGCGACCGTGGAAAAGGGCCTTCATAGAAATTAGTTGATGACCCCTAGTCTATAATATGACAATGTAATTGTGGGCATACAATTTGACATGGTGTTCTTATTATATCTGATTTTAAATGCCATTCTAAATAGTTCATCATATGGTAATTTCATAAGTAATGATTGTTATTTATTTAATATATAGGTCACAAACTTAGTACCTCTAATGAAACTGAAAGCCAGCCATCAGAAAATTCAAGTTTAACTATTATAGAAGAAGAGTTACAGCTTAAAATAAATTTAGATGGTAGTGTTACAATTTACATTTGATAAATAGAGGATATTTTATTGTTTTCTAATTCACAATTATTATTATCTATTAGATAATGATCAACCTAAAAAAGTTATGACTGATGAATTAAAGCAACAAATGACAATGGAGTTTCAAGAATGGTTGAACTCAATAGATTTTTCAACTGAAAAACCATGTAAGTAATTGATTATACAACATAAATAGTTTTTTTTGGATTTTCATAAATTGATTTGTTATATTATAAAATATCAATGGAAATTAATTTAATAAATAAGGATAAACAAATAAGAATATACATGTAACATTATTATAAAATTTAAATTGAGATTTTTCTGGAAAAGTAATACAATCCTAATAGTTTTTAATATTGGTTTTATTAGGGTCAAAAATCACATACGATTAAATAAGCAGATTTCATCTGCTATTAAATATCTAATAAATAAGCAATCCATAATTTAACAGTTAAAGAAATATAAAGTGTAGTGTTGGGGGTGTGCTGAAGTTTTGGTAGACCGAACGGTTCAATCTTAACCTGAATAGAGTATATTAAGTGAAACTCATCTTAGATGCTATTTGAACTTGAATATGAATGATGAATATAATTTAATTATACTAATAATAATAATTATTAATCGGTGATAGCGGATTGAGCTTTTTAAAATCATAAAGGAAATATTTAAGTAAGGAGAACTTCCTCTAGACTTTACTAAGTGTAAGATTATTCCTATTCCGAAAAAAGCAACCGCAACCAAAATAATGTGATCAGTACCATACAATTAGCTTGCTGACACATGTGTCAAAAATACTGACAATAATTATTCCAAAAAGAATGGAATATAAGATTGAAGCCGTATTGTCAGAAGACCAGTTTGGGTTCAGAAAGAACATGGGTACAAGGGAAGTAATACTGGCATTAAGAACAATTATTGAAAAAAGAATTAGAAAAGATAAGCCTACATACATATACTACTTATGTTGACATAAAAAGCGTTCGACATTGTCAACTGGTCAATAATGTTCAAGATGATAAAAATAGCAAGTATAGAATACAGGAAAAGAGACTTCTCTTTAAATTATACCAGAAGGAAACAGTTGTTATACGATTTGGTGAATTGAAGAGGAAGCATGCATAAGCAAAGGAGTATGGCAGAGTTGTACTCTCTCACCTAGCATATTCAATTCATACATCCAAGAGTTGATAGACATAATAAGAGAGGAAATACATTTGAATATAAAGATGAATGGCAGGAAAATTGATATGTTGACGATATAGCAGTAATAGCTGAAAACGAAGAGGCATTGCAAAGGATGCTGAGATGTTTGGAAGAAACTCTGCTAAATGAACTGAACAAAATTAATATGATAAATACCAAAGTTCTTTTATGTAGAAGGAACAATAATATCAAGTCAAGAATACATCTGCAAAACCAACAAGCAATAGAGCAAGTAGAAGAGTTCACATATTTGGTAAGCACATTTTGGGCAGAAGTAAAAGAGAAATAATAAATAGAATATGTCAAGCTAAGATATCGTTTAACAAAAAAGAGGACTTTTTACTTAACACATTCACTGCGTCAAATAATTAGTTGGGACACGTTAGATGCGTCACAAAATATATCGATGTTCGCTAGGAGCGTGCCACAAATTCGGACATTTTATTTAGTGTCGGAAAAATCAACAAAATAAGTTATTTATAAATGGATTGGACTGAAATAACAAGAAATTTCTATGCAGACGCTTGTGTAAAAAAAAACATTACTCTAGTGTGTCTCTATTTTATAGCACATTTAATTCAACAGACCTGATGTCGGCTATATCTGACAGGCGCACCGTGGAAAAACCAGTCCGTCGGATGTAGCCGACAAACGCAACGAATGTGTTAAAAAAATATAAGCATACGCATTAGGATAAATCTTCTGAAGTCATAGGTATGGAGTATAATGCTGCATGGCAATGAAACGTGGACAATTGCCAAAGAGGAACAGAGAAGAATAGAAGCTTTTGAGATATGGTGTTACAGAAGAATGCTTAAAATAAGTTGGACAGATATGGTAACAAACGAGGAAGTACTAGAAATGTCTGAAAGAAGAACTCTATGGAATAGTATCAAGAAAAGGAGAAATTAATGGATTGGACACGTATTGAGACATGGTGGGTTGCTGGGATTAATTATAGAAGGTTGTGTAGAAGATAAAAATGCTAGGGGAAGAAACATTTCCCAAGTTGCCACAAAAGCGTTGCCGGTGAGACTTATTTTGAGGTTAAGAACAATATTTATATGGCATTGGGGGTATTTGGATGGATTATATTATTGTATTATTTTCTTCGACTATATAAACTAGTTGGATTATAATAAACTAGCTAGTTTATATGCTTGAAGGTTATTTTAAACTTGTATAATACTATAATGCCATAACCTCGAAAAAAGTCTGCAAGGCAGCTCTCAATTGATAGCTACCAAATTTTGAACTGACTTGCCTCACGAGCGAAATGCAGATAATGTATAGTTGTCCGACCTTATCTTCTAACCATAGGTTTTACCTTTCCAACCCTCTTCCCACCCAATAATTGATAATTGTACTTTGTTTTTGAACATTGTTAATTATATTTTTATTTTTTAGGTGTTGCATCAATTCATTTTTTAAACACTTTAATAACAATCCCAATGCATTACAAGAGTTAATATCAAAGATTTCTTGAGAGGCAATCAGAAGAGTTTTGACTTTAGTCAAAGAAATACTGTAAATGGTAACTATCATCACTATAATATTATTTATGGGAATCGGTGCTTGGATTTTTTTTCAAATCAATTATTATTTAAATTATAAGTTTAGTTTCTAAGTTTCAGCATTGGAATTCCTTTCTAATTTCTATAAAGAAATTATTTTTATATTTAAATAATGTATGAATATAATACATACACCTGGGTATTTTATATATTCAATAAAGTATGTTTACAATAAAGTATGTTTAGTTGTTATTGATCCTATTAAACATTTGTAAGAATATTAATTTATTAATAATTATTTGACAGATTTTAATAGGCCGAAATACTTAAATCACATACATTTCTAATATAAATGTCTTCTCTATGTCCGTTACTTGAACAAAACTGCGAATGTTACTTTTTCTGTATAGTACGTTTCAAATGTACCCCTTAATTAGTAGCTCACTGTAAAAATGTAATAAATTTGAATTCATCTATAAATCATCACATACGATAATGATTTTGACGGAGATTGACATATAACAACAGCCAGATGATAGATCCTCTATTCTAAAGATTTTTTAAAAAAAATTTTTTTTGTATTCATAATATTTTTTGACAAATAATACGGGAGGTCGATCTAATTTTGACCTTTCAGGATCTACTTGTTAAAGATCTACAGCATATATGAATACTAGAGAAAAAAAATGGAGATAATAAAAACAAAAAACATGAACACATTTCTATAGTGATATTATAAATTAACATTTTTATTTTCATTTACAAAATTTTATTTGTTCTATGAATAGGACACAGCTTAAATGCATCTATAAAACAGGAAATTTTGAATGAACCATCTAACGATCTTGAAGGTAATCGTGATAATGGAGGTAAGTGCCATATTAAAATTTGGTTGCTTCCTAGATTTAATATTTATTTTCACATTATTATGATAAAAAGTAGTTTTTTATTAGTATTATGTATAGATCTGAAAAATAATTTAGTTTTATATTGGCAGGAAACTTAACGCCTTCCTACCAAGATCCTCTTATGCTTTACGCATACTGTTTTGTTTCTGTTTAGATATTATTTATATAATACATAGGTTATTTATTAAATTTATTATTCAACATTTTAATATGATACATTAAAGTCAACTATATATGAATAGAATAGATAATCACATTGTTTATTAACAGTATTTATAATTTTTGATTCTTTATTTTAAACGTAACATTTCTATCGAGGCTTCGAAATAAAAAAAGGAATATTTGTGAATACTAAAATTTCAGATTTAATTTTAATTATTAATGTTAATGTTATCTGGTTGGTATCCATTGATGATGTATTGTGTTGCAGTGAAATAACACCTGAACAGTGTGGGTATCCATACATAATCCAATATATTTTACTCATGTTATGTCACATGCCTATTTACCGGTCTGTTATAAATGAATAGTTAAGAGGGCGTTATACCCGCATGTGTTGTCCCTGTCTTACAAGTGCATAACACAGCAAATTTTATACTCAGAAAAACACGTGTAGCTCCATTAATTAAAAAATTTGAGTAAATTTACCTCTTATAAAATCTAAAGCTAAGATTATTATCTAGACAACCTCATGGGCTTTTTATTATATTTTAATTTTAAAGCGAGTTATGAGTATTTTAAAATTGTAAATTAGCTAACGGAGCTACACGTGTTCTACTTTATACGCAAAGTATATGTTAGTATGCTATGTTACACACTTGTACGACGGAGACAACACTTGCAGGTATAACGTCCTCTTAAGGCCTAAAATTATTTTGTAGAAAAAAACTGATTAAAGTCTCCCATTCTTCATACTCCATTCCAGACTGTTTCTGCCGCTGTATGGACTGCTGCTTCGACGCTAGCTGACCATCCACCTATAACAGAATGTTAATACTTTGCTGGGGGGGGGGGAGATTGAATGTTTCTTTGGAATAGAGTATAGATACCTACTGTACAGCAGTGCGATATCCAGTTGCCCACCTTTGTCTATATTATAATATTATTGCTTGACAAAAAACAGAAATTTTAACTTTTAATTTTTTTTTTTTAATTATTATTGTAGAGTTATTTTAGTTTTCATACTTGAAGCTAATAAAAAAAAAAAAACATACATTTTATATATTTATTTATTTATGTTTATTTATATACTTTTCAGATAGTGAAGGAAGTGGCACACCTAAATCAAAAGACAGTCAATCTGCTGCAATATCTTTCATTATTAGTACAAGATCTGCAGATAATTTAAATGGTAATCCTTATTATACTATTGACGATAATTTTAGTATAGTAATATATTATGTATTGATATTCTTGAATTAATTTATGCCATTAATTATTATTTATCATTCTTCTTAAGTTTATTAAAACTTAATATTATTAAAAAAACCTTAGTTTACCATAGTACAACAATTTAGTAACAACGGAGGCCTAGCTGTGTCTGAAATATTTTGTAATAAACAAACTTTGTAAAGCTAGGTTAATAATTTAAGGAGCCAGTTCAGTTTTGCTCATAGGCCATATAAGTTAGGGTAAACCCATATCAATGCAGATATAAATAATTATATTAATTTGTGTAATATATATTTGAAATAAAAATCTTTTAAATATTGTTTTATTATGAAGTGATATTTCAGTAAAAAAGAGATTTTTAGTGAAAATATAATATTTATTCTTTCTTGACCTTTTTAACTTTCTATACAATGATGTTAAACATTTAAAGATTGAAAAACATTTAACTAATAATTTATTAGTATGAAATATGCCTAAAAAAAGTTGAACATTTTTCTAGTTAATATAAAACATAGGTTCCCAACCTATGGTCCACGGACCACTGGTGGTCCCCGAGACATTGTGAGGTTGTCCGCGAGCCATACTTACAAAATTTAAAAATATTTTTATAAATTTATATTACATAGTGAAACCCATGTTATTATTTCAACCGATAATCTAATCTTTTTTTACATTTTTACATTAAGATTAGATTCTATCGGCACAATTTAACAGATTATGTTCAAAGTTGAGTATAATATTATTGGTTTTTGTTGTTAGTTTCTCCATATCCGTATTTCGTAGTCGACGTTAGGGCTCTTTTTAATTTTTCGTGTGTTAAATTGTCGAAATATGGCTCTGAAAAGAAAGTATGACGATGGATACATAAAATTTGGATTTATTGCAATCGAAACGTGAAATTCGACCACAGTGTGTAATATGTGCCACCGTTCTCAGTAATGATGCGTTGAAACCCGCCAAGTTAGAACGACATTTAAAAAGTGTCCATCCTAAATTAAGTGATCGACCACCAGAGTTTTTCATGGGTAAATCAGAAAATTAAAAAAAAATTAAACTAGGAACAAGTGGTTCAAGATTTGAGTCAAACGAAAAAGTTCTATCTGCGTCATTTAAAATTTCACAATTAATCGCAAAAATCAAAAAAAACCACAGTAAAACCTTGTTTCCTAACTACCGTAGAAGAAATTTTAGGTGTGGAAGCTAAAAAGAAAATTCAAGGAATTCCATTATCGTATAATACTGTGAAAGCTCATATTGATAAAATGTCTTTCGATATCGATAATCAATTATAAGCATTATTAAAAGCCTCTTATAAAGAAATTATAAATTCTTGTTAATAAAAAAGGTCTTCCTAGTTTGCGTAAAATTGAGGTGGTCCGCAACCTATACAAAAAAAAATTTTGTCAAAGTGGTCCGTGGTGGTAAAAAGGTTGGGAAACACTGATATAAAATAAACCATTTAATAAACTCTCTAATAGAGTATTTTGTACTTTGTTATATGTATGAATTATATATTAATTTCATTCAAAACAATTACTTGTAAAATAAGATAGTCTGTGATTCTTACCTCAAAACTATTTGATCGTGGAACAAATTATAAAAATAAATAATTTAAGTCCAAATACTTTGCTAATTAAAATGGAAAATACATTAAATCACTTAAGAACTAAATCTAATAATGAGAACTACTCCCCAGCGTGTGATGTGTTTGCTTTTTCGATAATTTTAAAGGGAGTTATAAATATTACAATAAAATACCTCATAATATAAATTTGTTATGTTATAAACCTGTACAACAACTAAATGTGGAGTGCATGTATTGATTTTTTAAAAAAAAGTTTTATAGTACTTATATTTACCCTGTTTATTATATTTGACTTTATGATTATAGACGATAATGACGTAAAATTGGAAAATTTGATAGAAATAGAAGCTACTTTTGCTTCCGAAGATAGTCTTGTTCATAATAAACAACCAAGTAAGTGATATTCTAATACATTTTAACAAAGTTAAATTTAAACCAGTGAGATTAAATCAATTCAACATATATCACATGTTTTTGTAACTACATCCTTCATTGTTATTTTTATATATAAATTTAACTAAAAATTATGAAAATAATAAAGCTAAAATCATGATTTTTTAAATTTTTATTCATCATGTTTAGGTTATACATCCAATGATAAACCTACTATAGAAAAATGTGACGTTTCTAAAATTGAAAGTTTATCACCAACTACTCCAATTACTCTGGAAAATAATCAAAGTAAAGTTAATGACCACCAAGATAAAACTACTGATGGTGAGATTTATTTATTATAATATATTAATTTTAATTTTAATTAGCAAGGTTCAGGTTTTAGACATTTTTACATAAACCAATACAAAATTATTTAATTTTATGATGCAGAGATTAAACCAGTTACCTTTCACCAGTATAATTAAGTAATTACCAATGTCCGGTTTTTAAGTGGTTTACCACTTTTTACACTATATTCTTTGTTATCAACTATGAATTATTGATAATGTATATGCAGATATAATTAAATTTGTTATACCAAGGGAATCCAACCTTTTGTAGTTTGCTGGCTAATTTACACTTTCATAAAACAAAGGGGGCCGCCAAAAGAAAAATAATTCTGGTACTCATCCAATATGATATCTACCATAAATATTTTATCTACCATTATTTTATGATAGTTTAATATGATATCTAGAGTAAATATTGTACCATATACTTTATCATTTTGCAATTAAGATTAAGCTTTTATCGAAATCTCAAATTGTATTATATTTATACCTCTTTATAATTTATTACAGGCTTCTAACAAACAAAAATTGATTGTGTGTTTGTGATTCTTGTCGATTTTTTGTGTTTTTACTGTGCTTTATTTATTTATTATTATTTATTAATTATTATTAAGAGTTTGTCAATTATGAGTTATTTATATCGACACATAATTCAAAATGAAGAGATGTGCGTAAATTTTTTGAAGTATGTGGTTTATTACCTACTGACCTAACATGTACCAAAATTATAAACCAAACAATTTTTGGTGGTAGTTGATAAAAGTTCTGAAAAATAATCAAAAACGTGATTTGGAAGGTAATATTTTGAAAAAATATATAATCAATGTACAAAAAAAGGGTGCCAAACATGTCACTCAATACGCTAAAACAATAACTTTTTTACATACAAGGAGGATAAAAATGGGAAGTGTAACAGTGGTTTAAATTTGTGCGATATCGTAGAACTTGTTTGGTATTGGGTATTTCAAATAAAGGTAACACAAGCCGAGGTGTTTACGTAAAGATAAAAATTAACTATAGTCGACTGGTATAATTTTTGTCGAGACGTAGCAATAGCTGAATTTCAAAATCGTTAGTAATTTTGAGGTCCTGGCCTATTGTGCAAATAGATGAATCCTTGTTCTATGGTAAAAGGAAATATATACGTGGAAGATTACGTCTTGGAGATTAAAAATCTGAGGAAATATCTGATGATAATGAAGAGAGTTCAGAAATTTGTATACATAACTACCAGGGGCGGTAAAATGATTTTGTCATGGGAGTGGGTATGGCTGATTTTCTAACATGCATTATTTTATCATTAAAAATATAATTTACGGTTATGTTTAGGGCAGAGGGCTTGTAGCATTTGCATATTTGTTTTGCTAAGTCACGAAAATAACAGAGTATGAAACAAATACCAAATACGTTTCATGCTTTCACAAAGTTAGTTTTGAAATTTTATTTTCACTTAAATACATATTTTGAGTAATTTGGTTTTTAGGGCATATTTTACACTTCTTTTACGCAATTTTATACTTTTTGAGACATATTTAACTTAAATCAATTTTTTCCACAATTACATTTTTATTTCAAACAATACAGTCCAAATGTTTGGATGAATAAAATTTAAAAAATGTTTGTCAAATAACATTGACTATCCGCGGGCACACGTTTTTCCTATAAGCGCTCGAAGATTGCCAATAATGCAATAAGCCAATAATATAATTTGCTGTAATTAATTTTATTAATAGATAGGTAACCGTTAACGATCTTATGTCTTACACCATACGACATCTCCACCTCAGTGAGCCGTGTGCGCACTATGCGGATTGCGGTCATTTATTCGATTAGGATTAAAAAAATTTAAATGCACATTTTAAGTGCATAAGTGCTTGCATATTTAGTGCTTTTTTAGAGCTACAAGTCCTCTGCCCTAGACTAATGTCTAATATCAATTTATAAAATTATGGTAAATAGAAACTTTATTTATAACTTAGGTATACAGACTTTATAAATATATTATAGTATTAATAATAGTTTTATGATATTAATAAATCAATTTTTTTGTTATTTTTTGCTAATTCGTCCAGTACTTATAATTATAACACCACAATGAACATAACCGCTAAGTCCACAACTTGATTCTCTGTAACTATATTAGTGATCTTACTTATTTTTTCATCCGCGGAGAGTTTAGAAGTAGAGCAACTTGCATCAAAATAGCTAGTAATTTTCCTTTTATTAGACATAGTAATAAACCGACCGTAGTATAATATATAATACACTTTATACTCCTTTTCAAAAGAGAATATACCGCTTTCGCGCATGTTGAATGATTCGATTGGTGCGTCGCGAACCACGTGATCACGCTATCAGTGGAAAATTGGTGGGGAATGAACATAAATTGGTCGCTGACCGGTATATTCTCTTTTGAAAAGGAGTATAGACTTTAGTACACTACACGGACACACTGTAGAAAATACGAGTACGAAAGAGTAAAGAATCACGGTGATAGCTAAATATTCCGAGTTATGACAAATAATAAGCAATCGATGTTTCAAGTTTTCAACCAACTAATGACCTGGGGCTGGAGCTACGTAATATTGTAAAATAACCCTACCGATCGCACCATCGCCCGTATAGGCCAATATTCTGGAAAAGTGTAGAGCTGGTTGTTATTGAGAATTCTCAATAACAGAGTGGGATGATTCCCATATTATATTTTGTGTTAACAACTAAATATAAATAATAATAATAATATCCTAGTTCCTGGATATGAGTCTAGATAATAATATAGTCATATCATATAAACACGTAGATAAACATATTCTGACATTCTGTCGAAATTTACAATAGTTGATAATTTGTTTAAAAAAAAAAAAAATTGAACAAAATTTAATGCATTATAGAATATAATTAATCATAAATTGTTATAAGTACTAAAAAAAAAAATCATGAGGGGGGTCTATCCCCCCTCATCTCCTCCCTCGTTTGATCACCACTGATAACTACACAGTACCACATGAAAAAAAGGTGACTAAGTAGAAATACTGCATTTATCATACTAAACCAACATAAAATTACAGTAGATAAAATATTTACTGTAGATAGCATACGAGTATTAAACCATCAAACGTGCATTAGATACCATATTGGACGAGTACTAAAATTCTCCCACCACCAGAATTCGGATTTGCTGTGGTTACTATACAAACACGATACTTAATTATGTACGTAGCGAGCTGAATTAAATCATAGTTTTGGACGTTACTCATTGCATGTATACATGTACTCATTGCATGTTTTATAGTTATTTTTAGTATAAGTCTTTTAAGGGTTATAAGTCTTCTAAGGGGAAGAGAAAGGTTTTCAAGGGCCACAAAAGTTTCAAGGTCCGCGGACTACCCTAAGTACTATATAGTAAGAAATTCCGCCATTCTAACTTCTTATTCTATTTGGTTCTGTCTACTTATTGCACTTCCTAGGGGCGCCTTATAGTATAATTTAAATCAAGAATCTTAAGGAGGCTGAAGCATACCATGTTTTAAGGAGTAGTGTTTAGACATTTTATATTACATGTACATTTTGGCTGCCTCAATGTGTGAAAAGTAAATAAATATTATTAGTGTGTGTAATCCGTTATCGCACTTTTCGCAACGAAATCTGAATTCTCGGATTTTATTTATATATTAATTGTTGATATTTCAATTTTAAAAGTGTTAATAAAAGCTTTACAAACCATAACCATTACTTATTAATTATTATTATTTTATCATTAATTTTACCTCCAAATGTTATCAGCCATTTTGTTATTTATTATCTATTTATAATTACTTTTTTTTACACCATTATGAATTTTTAGACAGAAATCAGGACCGAAAATTACTTTAAAATATTTTATAAATCAATTTATTTATTCAAACTAAACATAACAGTCAAAAATTAAAAAAAAAAAATATAAATAGGTACAAATACAAAATATTTTAAATTTAATATTATTTAATACACATATCTTATCCGTGGTTTTCTTCGTCAATATCTTCTTCGTTAGCACTTCAGTCACTGTCATCTGGTAATATTGTCATAATTATTGGTTCCATCATGGTGTCCCTCATTATATTTTCTTTTTTGTTGTCCTCCTCCTGAGTTCTTCTGCATGACAAACGCATTTCTTCCATTCCTTTATGACTGCATCTAATGCCTCATGTGTTAACTGCTCAAAGTATTTTTAAAAACAATCGCTACTTGGCCCCTAACTTGAGCCCAAATTAATTCAATTGGATTATACTTAAAACCAAATGGTGGCAGACGGATTACCTCATGACCCATTTCAATTGCGATGTCATACATCTCGTATTTTTGTTCGTGTGGCAATAGGTTTTTAACATTTTGCCGAAGTTCTGGTAGTGTTTCCAATTGATGGAACTCGATATTATTTTTATTAATCATTGTTGTACGTCGGTTTTTCTCCAATTACTTTTAGGATATTTGTCTCGGAGGATTGAATTGTAAGGATTGTTATCCATAACTATAACGCATGGCTCTTCAAGATTTTTAAGCAATTGAATAAACTACTCTTAGAATACTTCACCATTCATCTGATTATGATAATCAGTGGTATTTCCGGTATTGCTTAGAAATAACAATTTCGACCCATCTATAAACTTGTAGCGAGCACATCCTGCGTAGCATACAATAAGTCGGCCTCCTTTACCCGTTGGCACCTTTAGACCTCCGAATTATTTTCATTTTTCCAAATAAGCGTGCGCGAATGGTTTTGGTTTACCCACGTTTCATCGAGATAAACCACTGGCCGATCGTTTTTATTCTCTCTCAGCGTACACATTTGTCTTAAAAATTTACACCGAAGTGCGACGATATCATTCCTCTCCATTAAAAAGATACGACCATCGTTACATCTTTTGTATGCAAATTTTAAATTTTTAAGAAGCCTTTGCATTAATCGAGTGCTTCGGCACCCAGTGTAATTTGTTTTTTTTACGACATTCAACATCAATTGAGCAGTTGGGTACTCACCCCGGTCGTAAAACTCGTTGACAGTTCTTCTCATAACATCGGAATCGAAATCATCCATCCCCGAAACAGTTTTTGCACGTTTATACCCTTTACGTGTAGAAACAAACGTTAGCACAATAACGCAGAAGAAAAAACAGTGTAAAAAAAAGGTGGGCAAGTGGGTGTCGCTCTGCTGTACAGTAGGTTACAAGTGGGTCACTGTATAATGGATGGTATTAAATTTGAATTCAATGATATAATATCATTGTATAAGAAAAACGATTCTGAGCGGTGATGGTATGTCAGTCTATGTATAAGGCATATTATATACATATCTATGGTATTAAACAAAAAATTGACCTATAATAAATTCCAAATTAATCATATCACAATATCCATTAGATACTTATAACGCGTTATACATCAACAAAAACCGTGATACTATCATAGATATATAATAGTACACTTTAGAAGTTTCAAGTACCCACGAATAGTATTATTCAATCACAACAAAATAACTAAAATCGTAATTCTTGGTTTAAATATGAAATTTTGTCTAAATTTGAAATTAAAATGTCTGTAAAAAATAAGTGTGTTTATATATTTTTTAGATTTTTTGGTTACAGTATGAATTATTTAAGAGAATCTTTGTTTTAAATTTTCAACTCTTAGTTATAAAAACTGAACATTTTATAATTTTTTAATTCCAACGATTGATAATTTTCGAGATTTTGATAAATTTTGTCAAAATTCCAACTTTAAATGCTTATAAAAAAAAATCGTGCCTATGTATTTTTAATATTTTTCAACTGATATTGTAACAATATATCAGGAGCCTTGTATTAAATTTTTACACTTTTTGGCCCAACAGATAAAACTTTATTGATATTTATAGAAAAAAAAACTAAAAAAAATTGAAAGCTGTAAATGTCCATAAACAGCTCAAAAAGAGTCAAAATATTTTCAAAATTGTATGGTGTATAGGAAATGCTAATATAAACATTCAATGAAATTTTCATGTATCTACAGTTATTCGTTTTTGAATTACCACAAAATAAGGAAATCGCTACATGAGAAATCGAGTGAAAATCCAATGTTGTAAAAATTTGAATTTCAAACGCTCATGAAAATTTAATTTGACTGTCCGGTAGAGATTTTTTTATTGATAAAGGTAGATAATCTTATAAGGAATCTTGTGTTTCATTTTCAAATCTTAGATTTAAAAAGAAAAATTTTTACGAATTCTTAACTCAAAATAATTTGCTAATTTTCGTGATTTTTCCATATTTTGTCAATTTTTGAACTTTAAATGCTTATAAAAAAAAATTGTGACTAAGGATTTTTAATATTTTTCATCTGCCTTTGAAACAACATATTAGGAGCCTTCTATTAAATTTTCAAGCTTTCGCAACCAATAAATAAAATTTTATTGATATTTTTAGAAAAAAAACTAAAAAAAAATGGAAAATGAAAATGTCCCTAAACAGTTCAAAATAAATCAAAATATTTTGAAAATGTTATCGTGTATAGAAAATGCAAATATAAACAACCAGTGAAAATTTCATGTATATACGTTCATTTGTTTTGGAGTTACACCAATAACCAGAATCGATTTTTTGGAAACCAATTTGCGTAAAATTCCCGTTTTTCCTTAATTTTATGTTTGTTTTTTCCCGGCGCTTGTGAAAACTACTGGGAAATTTATACTTTTGACCCCCCAAGTACCAACTAGATTCACTTTCCTATCAGAAAGCTACTGATGAAGAAAATCCAAGCACTTTTTACTGTCCTAAAACGTGATGACAGAACACAAAATATAAATAAAATATAAAAAACATACATCATTGTAAACCAAATACATTACATCGCCTCCGCTCAGAATCTAAAATAGTTGTTTACGAACTCACAGTACAGAACATACAAACAATTTTATTAATAACATATTCATACATAGAACATAATATAATATGGAGAATATATATTATAACATTAACATAACATAACATAAACCTTTAAACAAAAGAAACATAAACATTTATATTTTACGATGAGATTTTTGGGAAGCAAAATCGTCAATGAGCTCACTATAACTAATTTATTTAGTTATCTCACATTCTATAAATAAAATCTCCAAATTGTTTAAGTGGCTGTCGTTTATTGAAGATCTTAAGTAGGACTTCACTCTTTTCAGAACACTAAACGACTGTTCAGCTGAGGTATTAAAAACCGGACAGCATAAACACATACGTAACGCAAAATCTACATAAGGGTAAACATATTCTGCTTTTTTGTGATCTTCGATGATTTTGCACAACTCTAAAATGGATTTTGGTGATACATTTCCTGGTAAACTTTTTAAGTATCCATGGAAATGAATGCTTTCATTTATAAATGATCCATCGAGATCTTCAGGATACTGACTTTGTAATTTGGTAGCTTTCTTTCTTACTTCAGTTCCAAATCAGATATGTTTGTAAAAAATAAGAACGTAGTATTGTTATTATCGTAAGAATTTTTAACTCTGAAAGTAATGAATATATTATTAGATAAATATATAATATATATATATTAGGAAAATATAAATATATAATAATTGACAGCTAGTAGCTAGGTGATAAGCACAAAAAAATTATTATGTAAGATGTAACATTTTTTAAAATAAAAACTTGATGCCCTTTGAAATTAGCTGCCCGGGGCGACTGCCCCATCTCGCTCCCCCTAAATACGCCACTTCTAACAGGTAGGGAAGCCGCAACCCGGGACGTTGTACAAACCGGCAACTTTTCATGTTGCGGACTATACATTTTTAAGGGCGTTAGAAGTTAGACATTAGATATTTTCCCGTAAATTAACAAACTCTCATACAATGATTTTCTTACTTTTTGTTATTCAATAACTAATAACCATAGATACTTGAAATTTACACCATATGTTAATTATGTTTTGGCTCTTTTCTAGTTGTTTACGGACATTTTCAATTTTCAATTTTTTTAGTTTTTTTTTTTAATAAATGTAAATTCAATTTTTTATGTTTCAGTGGTGGATTTTTTTTTTCATGTCCTTTTGTAATTGATATTACACTAAATGCTTGAGTTGCTTTAATTATGGTGGGGGAGGCTCAAAAATTGAAAATAGCCCCTCCTCCTTGATGTTGTATCAAAACTGCCACTGATATGTTTGGTCAAAATACTTAAAAATTAAATACTAGACTGAAGGCTCCTCACACATTGTTAAAATATGTACCATTTTAAAAAATATTTAAAATACATGATCAAGATATTTTTTTATATTCGTTCAATTTGGTTTTTACAATTTATCTGGCCACTGGATATTCAGTGATTGTATGATTATTGTTGGTACATCTATTTTTCCTAACATAACGACCATAACGTGATTTTACCTAGCACCTGGCCAGTCAATAATTCTTTATACATTTACCAATATAACTTTAAATGTAACTTAGTTACATATAACTGTAACTTGTATCTAGTTACTTAACATAAAAGTATCTAGTAACTTATACTTGTAACCAGTTATACTAAATTGAGTAACTTGACTTACCCTGTATGCGGTCTACTACTTGTTTTATCGTTTCATACCGGCATTTGTAAAAACAATTTTCTTTCCACTTTACACAGAGTTAAGGACTGCCAACTTATGTATTTTATGAGTTTATGTGGTTATAAAATTTGTAAGGTAGTTAGTATAAATATATATTATTTGTTAATATAATCTAATAATAAGTATAATATTTATAATTTAAATCTTAAAAGTTGTAACTATCAATATACTACTTATTTCTTTATTTTTTATTTTTTATTATTTATTTCCTGTTTAATTAAGTTGAAAGTTATTTTTTTATGGGAAGTAGGTACCTGCCTGGTACTTGGTACCTACTTCCAATATTTAATTTATATAGGTAGTTGAAATTTTCATAAAATTGCATCTAATCATAATATTAATTAAAGTTTTTTTTTCATAATTTGTTTTTAATTGTATTTTAGATATAACTCCTAATGAGATCCGTAATGCAAATGAGAGCTATCTTTACGAAGCAAGTGGTTCTTCAACATCACACACTGAGTTGTTGAAAATAAATACAAATAGCTATTTTCAAAGTGACATTGCTGAAGGTAACATCTGTAATTCATCCATATTAATTTTTGATGTTTTCAAAAATTAATTTGTAGCAATTTAGTATTTACTTTTAGTATTTTATATTTAAGCTTCAGTAATTATGTTTATAAATAATAGAAGTTATGCCAAAAAAAATGTGGGTCCCTATTTTAATTTACTTATAATTTTTATTTTTAGATTTGATCTCCAATGATTGTTTGAGAACTGAGCTGAATAACATTTCTAATAACCCACAAGATGCAGTAAAGGGTAAGGCTTGAATGCTTGATATTAGTGATAAAAGAATACTCATGTTTACATGAAAGTTACACCAAACAACTTATAGGGCACCGACATACTAAAATATCATTACAGATATTTCGATAATGTAGAATGTAGATAGTGATACTATTATAACGTCGCATTGAAGTACAATTACATTGATAATATTAAACTAATGTCCATGCAAGTAATAATAATTAAACAGTGGTAATAGGTATACATTATTATTGTATATGTTTAAATATATAAAGGCACACATTTTCACGTATTAGCCAATATTGTGGTTATGTTTGATGTCATTATAACCAGACATTTTGTACACTCAAATAATATATATGGAATTTTGCCGGGACCTTGACATTAATATTGTTTTATTCAATATATCTTTACAAACCGATTATATTACAGATAAAACCTACTGTACTTATCTTTAGACCTGGTTAAAAATACCTATTACAAAATGTATGGCATTTAAAAAAACATTGTTTTGTTTATCTTCTTAAGATAGTTTCAATATATATGTTAGCCATTAGGTATTTTTAATATGAATAATAAATTAATACACTATTAAGAACAGATGAATGTGTCTATATTTTACATACATTTTAATGTATTTTGTCTTACAATATCTGATAGACAGTCACATTGGTTGCCTTTTCATTAATGATTTGCATAACATGTATCAACAAGTTCTATAATCATTGTTTTATAGTATTTAAAAATTAGATGAGTTCTAAATGTATATTAAAGTTATGTTCAAGTCTTGAGGTAGTATTTATACAGATATTTTTGCTCAATAATTAAACATAATACATTATTGTGTTAAAATATTTTGTTTCAGATTTTACATCAGTTGATAGTTTTATTTTAAACAAAAGTAATGATCATAATACAGGAAATTCCTCAAGTTCATCAATGTTAGCAAATGTGATGATCAAAAAAAAGAAAACTAAAGATCACAAAAATAAAAATACTGATGGTAGAGTACCTATAAATATTGTTCTTTTATATATAACTAGCTATACCACTCTGCGTTGAAAAAGTTACCTCTGGTGAAATAGTCGGCAATAGCCAATACTACACTTATGTGTATAAGAAGGACTCAAAAACGCATTAATTGTATATATATTATAGCTGATCCCTCTCACTTCACTTTGTTGCCCATTAAAAATGCGAACTCTATATGAATAAAATGTATTATTTTATAATATAACGGTTACCATAACAGCAATTTTAAACCAATTGCAACTAATAATTGTTTGTGTGTGTGTGTCTTATTATTGGTTGCAATTGAATTAAATTGGAAAATCATTATATTATAATTATTATAATAGCTTTGACACCCGTGGAAACCATTTATAAATAAAAATTTCCATCGGAAATCTCAAAATCCCTTTTTGAGCACCTCCCAAGATTGGCCCTCTCCCTTTAAATTGGATAAATATTATAATACTAGCTGATCCTGCGCACTTTGTTGCCCATTACCGACTCTATATGACTTAAACTTTGTTCAATTTGTTATTTAATATTCGGTGTATGGTGTTCAAAATTTATCTTAACTTTTCTGTTGCCTGGAATAAAAATCCTGATTCGCAGCAGTATATTATCAGGTAGGAAATTTTCTTGCTGTATATCGCGATCAACTCTTAAATATCAAAGTTATACCAAGTTTATTTTGATATAACACGGTGGATTAATACAATCAATTAATACATAATCCTAACTTAACCTAACCATACTAAAATCCGATGGATAAAAAAAACCAAATTTAACCCTTTTGAAATTAACCTATCTTCTTCCCAGAGATCTGCTCACAAACATTCACATATATATAATATAGCTGATCCTGCAAACTTCGTGGTCCGTAAAAAATTACAAAAAAATTGTGATTGTTCAACTCCTTTTTGGTGTAACTCACTGCACTAAGAGTAACTCAGTCACCCTGGTAGGCAATGTTCGAATATTTGATTTGATACATGCTTGTACCTGATTTGCCCGATTAACCAATAGCAACCAATAATTAATAAATACTATTTATATTAATTATTTCTCCTATAACCAATAGCAACCATTTATAAACAAATATTTCCATCGTAAATCTCAAAATCGCTGTTAGAGCACTTCTGTTTATTGGTTGTAGCATGATATTATAATACTATAGCCTTCCTCGATGAATGGACTTTCCAACAAAAAAATAATTTTTCAATTCGAACCAGTAGTACCTGAAATTATTATAATAGCTTTGACACCCATGGCAACCATTTATAAACAAAAATTTCCATCGGAAATCTCAAAATCTCTGTTTGAGCACTTTCCAGGGTTGGACCTCTCCCTTTTTAAACTAGCCTATCTTCTGCCCAGAGGGGTCTAGCCTATCTGTAACTAAATGATCCCCCATGTACTTTGTTGCCCGACAACCAATAATGATCCAGTGCCCTTCGTTGCCCGGCAACTAATAGTTATTATTAGAATAGCTTCAAAACCCATAGCAACCATTTATAAACAAAAATTTCCATCGCAAATCTAAAAATCCCTGTTTGAGAAACTCCTGGGTCTGGTCCTCTCCCTTTTTAAATTAGCCTGTCTTCTGCCCAGAAGTCCAATCTATCTCTGTACCCAATAGTTATTATTATAATAGCTTCAGAAACCCATGGTTCACCATGGCAACCAAAGGACACACACACAGACAGACAAACATTCTATATCTACCCCTGGGGTTGGTTGCGGTGGTAATATGGAGACACACACGGAAGGAAATTTCAAAATAATATATAGATGGTTGCCATGGTAATGGACACACACACAGACAGACACATAGACGGACACATTCATTTATATATATATTAATTTATAATATTGTGTAGGTGAAGATCATGTCTATAGAGTAAAAGCATCAACATCAACTAAGTCAAAAAATAAGAATATTCATGAAAAACACAAACCAACCAAAGGTAAAGAATATTTATTGATAATTATTAGTATAATTATTAATTACTAAAATATTGATTTTATTCTAGTTTATATGTAAGAGATAATTACTTAAAAAATTCAAAACTCTTTGAAAAACTGCTAAATAGAATTCTAAGGATATAATATAAGATATATATAGATTCTGATAAATAAAATAAACGAGCTTTAGTTTTTCGAATTTGAACATTAATTCCTCCAATACCATTTAAAAGTTTAAAACCACATTGATTTTAATATAATATAGTTGATATTATAATTTTATTGTTCATATAATTTAAAATTGTACTATTATGCTTTTTGATCTATGACTTATCTAAATATAGTGTTAGTTTAAACCAAATTAATGATACTGAAACTTCTAGTTCTTCATGTTTAACAATTTCAACATGTTGCCAATTAAAAATATGATCATTAAAGATCATAAAAAAATAAATACTCATGGCAAGGTTAATTAATAATTATTTCATATAAATTAATAATGTTCTATAGGAGAAGATAATGTCCGTAAAGTTAAAGACGTATTAACATCAACGAATGAGTCAAAAAATAAGAATATTTATGAAAAATACAAACCGACCAAGGGTAAATATTATTTATTGATATTAACCATAATACTGGTTTTTATACTAATTTATTATATTATTTATAGGTTTAGCAGTTAGTTACATAAAAAAAACAAACCTCTATACAAAACTTCTAAAAAGCAAGTCTAAAGATCTATATTATATAGATTCTGATGATAATGATACGGTTACTACCAACAATGTAAAAGGTGTCTCATCATTTTCAATTTTACTATTTTATAAAATTAAATAAATGAGTTCTCATTTTTTGAATTTTTTTCTTTGTTACTATTTAAGTAAATGTTTTTATTTGCAATGCATTTTAAAATAATAGTTTCATTTGAGTAGTCATTTAATTCCTATTAAATATATATTTGATAGAAAAAATATCTAGTTTAATTTAATACGGTTGTATAATATGTTGTTTTAGATCCTTCTTCTAACGATAGTTTTGCTTTAAATCAAATTGATGATTATGAAACTGGCTGTTCTTCAAGTTCATCAACAGTGTCCAACAAAAAAAATAAATTTAAAGATCGTAAAACTCATAATACAGATGGTACTATTTACAAATTGTTTTTACTTTATTTTTACTTATTTATATATATTTTTAAAGATCATATTCAGAGAGTAAAAGAATGTTCATCAACACCAATAACCCACTTAAATATTCAAAATATTTATAACAAGAGCAAAGCAACTAAGGGTAATCATTTTTTTTCTTCATGTTCATGGTAATATAAAGTTTTACATTAATTTAAAATATTTAAATGTATTGATTTAGAAGTTGATAACTTGAAAAAGCCACAAGTATATGAAAAATATAATAAAAGCAAGTCCAAGGATGTGAGAATTAATGACGACAAATATAATTTTTTCAACATAGACCATAATCAAGGTAAGTAACCTTAATTATTTTCGTTATGATGAAACTAAAAACCTACATTTTATGAAGTTTAATACTTGTTTAAATGTTGTTTCGAATCAGTTGAAAAATTCTCAGATACCATTACTTTAAACTTGCTTAGCTTAGGAACTGTTTTTTATTTAATTTTGTTAAATATATTTATTTTAGATATTGCTACTGATAATAGCTTTACTTTAAATGAAAATAATCAACCTGGAGCTTGTAGTATTTCAAGGTCATCAACATCAACAAAAGTGACAAATAAAAAGAAGAAAATTAGAGAAAATAAAAGTGAAATTACTGATGGTAGTGTTAATTGATTGTTTCTTATGTTATATGAACTAATTAATAATGGTTTTAGGAGAAGATAATTTTTGGAGATCAAAACCATCAACATCAACAACAAGGTCAACTGATTCGATATTACTTGATGGAAATGAAAAATCAACCGAGTGTAATGATTATTTATTGATGGTGATGATTATATTGTTGTTATTACTAATTTGTGATATAATTTATAGGTCTACCAGTTAGTTATTTAAAACAATTAAAAGTTCATGAAAAACTTCTAAAAGGCAAGTCTAAGGATTCATTAAAAATAAATAATCAAGATAATATTGAAACGGACTATCAACAAGGTGAATTACATTTCTTTCTTTCCAATTTAATAGTATTAAATAAAACAATTTTGTTTAGTTTATATTTTTAGGTTATTTAATTTTTCTTAATTTCCTATAAATCATTATTAATTTTCTTTAGAATTTAAATTTTAAGTGTTAAATTAAAATGTAATATTTCAGTCACATTGATTTTTTTTTTTAAATTTCAGATGATAGATCTAATGATAGTTCTATTACAAATCAAAGCAATCAACCTGAAGTTTGTAGTTCCTCAAGTTCATCAACTCCAAGAAATGTGACAAATAAAAAAAAGAAAACTAATCATTGTGAAAGTGGAAATTCTGATGGTAGAGTTGTTTTATTGTTAACTATTATATAATATAAAATAATTAATGATGATTTTAGGAGAAGATCATTTTTGGAGACCAAAAGTATCAACATCAAAAGTGTCTAACAATAAGATATTACATGGTGAATACAGTAAATCAACCGAGGGTACGGATCTTTTATCGATGGTGATAATGATAAAATTTCTTATTTTTACTAATATATAATATAATTTATAGATAAACCAGATAATAATTTTAAAAAATCAAAAGCTTATAAAAAATTTCTTAATAGCAAGTCTAGAGATGCATTTATAACTAATAATAATGAAAAAGTTGAAGCTAACTATCAAAAAAGTGAGTAACATTTTTATCTTCTCAATTTATTAAAAAAAAAAATAAAAACCATCATTATGATTTTTTTTTTATGATATTTTAATCTTAATTCAAATTTTATGTTAATTTTACTTTGAGATAATTTTTTAAAGTTGTTCAGCTAAGTAATTATGTTTATTTCTTATTTTAAAATTGAATTGATCTGTTACAAACATTTTATATTTATTTTTGCTTCAGATTTTATATCGAATGAAAGAAGTCAACCTGAAGCTTGCAGTTCATCAATCTTGACAAATGTGACAACTAAAAAAAATAAAACTAAAAATCATAAAGATGATGTTGTTTCTGATGGTAATGTTGATTTATTGATGACTTTCTCATACAATACTAATATATTATGTTTTTTTTTTAAGAAGATCATTTTTGGAGAGGAAAAACATTGACAACCGAGTCAAACAAAAAGATAAATTATGACAGAGAAAGAAAATCAACTGAGGGTAAGGATTATTTAAAGTTTGTCATTATGTTCAGGAAAGAACCAGTGGAGTGTCGATACATTTTTTGGACATTTAAAAATTTGTCATTTTAAAATCTAGTCTAGAATATTAAACACACCCCCTCCTACCATTATATATTTTTAAAATTGTCCCTGACTATGATATTGCTTTTATACTTTTTTATAATAAATTAATATTATATAGGTCTAGGAGTAAATTACATAAAACAAATAAATTTGTATCAAAAACTTCTAAACAACAAGACTAGAGATGCAGTTTTAAATTATGAAAAAAATCATTTTGAAGATGACTACCGACATGAAGGTAAATTATTATTATTTAATTCAGTTTCAATCATTGTTTATTTTACGTTGTTATAATTTTATAATTTCAGATGAAACATCTAATGAAAGTTTTATTATGAATCAAAGTCATCAACCTGAAGCTTGTAGTTCTTCAAGCTCATCAATGACAACAACTGTCCCAAATAAAAATAAGAAAACTAATCATTGTGGAATTAGAATTTCTGATGGTAACATTTTATTGATAACTATTAGATATAAACTAATTATTATGATTTTTAGAACATTTCTGGAGATCAAAAGCGTCAACATCAACAACAGAGGCTAACGATAAGATAATACTTGATGGAATCAACAAATCAACGGAGTGTAATGATTATTTATTGATGGTCATGATAATATTGTTGTTATTACTAATTTATTATATCATTTATATAGGTTTACCAGTTAATTATTTAAAAAAAACCAAAGTTTACGAAAAACTTCTAAAAAGCAAGTTTAAGGATTCATTAAAAATTAACGATATAGATAATTTTGAAGCTAACTATCAACAAGGCAAGTTGCATTTATTTCCATCCAATTCAATAAAATAAAACAATAACTTATCTTGTTATGATTATATTTTTTTGATTTTTAATCTCAATTTGAAATTGATGTGAATTTTACTTTGAGTATAACATTTAAAATTTGTTTAGTTTAGTAAAATTATTTCTTATTTTATTTTTAAATGTTATTGATCAGTTGCAACTTACAAATATTGTCAATTTAACTGTATAATAATTTTTATTTCAGATGTGATTTCAAATGAAAGTAATCAACTTGAAGCTTGCAGTTCATCAATCTCAACAAATGTGACACCTAAAAAAAAGAAAACTAAAGAACATAAACATGTTATGTCTGATGGTAATGTTGATTTATTGATGACTGATACATACATACTAATAAATTATGTTTTTTTTATTTAAAAGATCATTTTTGGAGAGGAAAAGCATCAACTTCGACATCAACAACTGAGTCAAATAATATGGTTATGTTTGACAAAAGAAGTGAAGCAATTGAGCGTAAGGGTTATTTATTAATTACCATTATGTTATTTTTATTATACTAATTAACTATGTCACTTATAGGTATTGGAGTTGATCACAAACATAAGTCAAAAGTGTTAAAAAAATATGCAAAGAAAAAGTCAAATGATGTAGATTTAAATAGTGACAGCGAAGTTAATGTAGTTGGTGACCCTCTACTAGGTGATTTAAATTTAAAATAATTGTATTTAATTAATGACCACATTTTATTATATTCAATACTTGGTATTATTTAATTTTGTTCTGAATTGGTTGTGAATTTTAATTTATATTTTGATTCCATATTAAATTTGTGCAGTTTACTGACTTTATTTATATATTATAATTAAATGTATTGTTCATTTAGAATTATTATTATTATGTAATTTTGGAATTTAATAAAATTAAATTAAAGACTTTAATATTGTTAAGTTTTTTTCATATATGTTATTATTGTATTTCATTTTGGATTGGTAAAGGGTTTTTTATTTCTTTGATGACATTAAGTATAGAGTGCAGTTTGATTTTTTAATATCATTGTTTAATCACAATGTTTCATTTATGCTATTTTATATAGATATTTATTAAATATTAACTTAAATATATTTACGAATATATATGTATATCTATATAAATATATATATAAAAAAAAATAATCAACTTATTATTGTTTTAAAAGATTATTTTTTGTTTCAGATTTAACTTCCAATAGTCTTACTTTGAATAATAGTAATTTTTCTGATATTGCTACTTCAACAATAGAAACAACTGTATTAATTAATAAGAAGAAAATTAATAACCATAAAAATAAAGTTACTGATGGTAGGGTTAAATTTATTCATTCTACAATTATTTCACCTTTATTCATCTTTAATAATTTTAGGAGTTAATTGTGTCAAAGAAGTAAGAGAGCTTAAAAAAGATATTAAAAAGAAATCGCATGTTGTAGATATTCTCCCTGACAAAGATGATAAAGTGATTAATAACTATCAACCAAGTGAGTTCTAACTTTAATTATTTTTATACATATATTTTATTTATATAAATCAGATTACTATACAACATACATTCACGGACACACATATGTAGAAAATATACGGTATATACATACCTTGTGATTATAATTACCTACCCTATAGTGTGTAACTTGTGACTGTGCAAATGAGTATAACATCAATAGCGTATAATTTGAAGTTTTGTATTCATAAATTCATTTTTAATGTAATTAAACATAACTTTAATATTAATTTATTTGTTGAGTAGATGTTTAACCAATAAAAATTTAAAATTTAAAACATAAATTAGATTTATTAATTAATGATATATTGTATAATATATTGTATCTTCAATGTTATTTCTTATCCTCTTGGTACAGACAGCGACAGCCCTGTTAAATTACTATACAAATATTGAGTAATTCTATATTTGTTGCTAAAATTAATAATTATTTTGTTAGTAAACACTGCAATGTTTTATATTTTTGTAATGGGGGTTGGTTATATTATGATAATGAAAATTTATATTTTTTAAAATTGTTTGCTTTACGTTTCAGTTCCCAAATCAAATAATGGAAATTGGTCATGTGGAAGTGCTAGTTCATCAAATTCAATACCTTTGTCAAATCATCAAATAGAATCTGATGACGATGCACATACCACAGATGGTTAATTTAATATTTTAATATTGTTTTTATATTAATTGATTAAAAATTTGTTTTATTTGTTTACAGACGATGATCAATATGTTAAAAACAGAAAAATTTCTAAAAAAAAACATAAATCTTTTGATGATGTAGACCGTAGTATTTTTGAGGCATTTGGATATGAAAAACTATGTAAGTATGCTATTAGTCAATTAACATTTAAATGCTAGTATTATAAAGTTATTTATTTATGATATCCACCATTTATCTGTTGATTATGTGCTTCAGGTTAAAAGAATATTTAAGCATTTATTCATCCCATCATATGGATTGATAATGCCAAGTTTTTCTATATTATTAGCGATTTTAAATACTGCATTCTTCCTACAAATATGTGGTATTGTGGTGATTGGTGTTAGCCAAAACTGGCATCTGGACGCCACCGTAACACTGGACTTGAGAGTACCGATAACTATACTAAATTCATCCTTTCCACAGTTCCAAACCGTCTTGAAATATTTAGAAAGCTTTCTTAAGCGGGGATTCAATGCATTTAATACTCCTTACAACAAACATTATGCTTAAAAGGGAGTTGCAAGAATTTTTTTTGTATATTTTTATTTATCATTAAGTATTTGTGTATTGTTTTGCTAAATAAATTATTATTATTATTATTATTAGCTTGAACATAACAAAGAAGAGTAACATTGGTTGGTAGCTTCTTGGGTATTCTGGCTCACACGGGCTTTATTTCCTTGACTTCGGAACTAGTCCAGCTTTAAAAATATTATAGTATATACTAGCAAGACATTGCAGGACCATAAGACTGAAATAAAACTCAAAAGATAAAAACAAAACTCAACTCAAGTATTATAAAAGTACAAAATATAATAAATCAATAGTATATTATTCATGCAATAAAGCCAGCCTCCAATATAAAAGTGATAACAATTTTTATTGCAGATACAGATTTAGTATTTAAAATGGAGTGGAAGTTAAAAAAATATTATGCGTTCTAAGAGAGTTAAATAAAATTAGTTTTTAAATTAAACAATATAATATATGGTATAATATGTAAGTTTAAGTTATTAAACCAAGTTTTTTAAGGAGATTAGGTGTAATATATCTATATCTGGAAGTAAAGTCTGCAGATATGTTATTCCAGGGAGAAGATTATAGATTAAAGATTAAAGATTATAGATTACATGTATTCCAGTATGTCTGATCCAAAGGAAGTAAATTATATAGTTTAATTGACTGAGGGTGAAAATTAGAGACTAAATACAGGACCTAGATTATACAGATATATCTTAGTGGATAGTTAAGCATGGAGAAGATGCGCAGAATTGGTGCGTTCTCTCATTGGATAGAGTATACAAATACAATTATATAAAACTTTTTAGCGGAATCGAAGGTGTTTAGTTGTGACACGGGTTCTTTCTCTCATGTTGTTGAGTATATTAACATGAATTATTTTTGAGAGATATTTGAACTGTTCTTCGAGTGAAATTCCTTTCTGTTTATTCTGTGCTAATATCACAAATTAAGTTATAGTCTATTTAAGTTAATATAATATTAGCAGTTAGCACTACTCCTGGATAATGGGTACTGTGATAGTGATATTAAAATATTTTTACAACTACTAACACTAGTGATGTACATTTTAAAGTTGTACTGATGTTTCAGATAGTTGGTTTATGAGTTTATCATAATAAAACAGTTTCTGTTATATTATATTATAGGCTGTTATTTAATTTGTATTCCTTACATCATAATTTTACATGACAATAACAATGATAATTTATTGTTTGATGTTAACATATTTATATTTTCTGGATTAATTAAATTTCCAAAAATACAAATAATACTAATAATTGATCAAATGTGTAGAATTATTAAAATAAAAAATAATTACCTACATATTTACTAGACTGGGAAATTTTTTTAAATCATTTAGTTAAATATAGTATATTGTAAGTTAAGTTGGAAGTTACTTTTCTTTTTTAATTTACAAAAGTTACAAGCTGTGCTGTAAAAATAGTTAAAGTTATGTTGTAATAATTAAATAGTATATTGTGTGACAAGAGCGGTAAGTGAGCTATTTCAGTCGTGGTCGACGCATTTCGCCCAAGACTGAAATTGCCTTCCCGCACTAGCCACACATACTATTTTTTGTCACTCCACTGCATTCATCAATCACGGCAAAGGTAATGCCAGGGACCTATGCAACAACTAGACCATAATTTTACGACAACAATATTTCATGAAAGAAATTATTTGGTTTTTATTTATTTTAAGCGTCACGCATGGAGGTTATAATATGAATATAAGATGTAACCAAAACTTTATATTTTTTAAGGACCGAGGTATAGATATTAGATTTCAGTGTTTGGTTGTGCAGGGGACTGATTAAGATACGCTCGTGATATGTGCGCCCAGCACTTTTGGGGATTTCCACTTTACCGCCGGGCACTTCTTGGGATTTCCACTTTATCGCCGGGCACTTTTAGGGATTCCCACTTTACCGTCCGCTGGACGGAAAAAGGGCTCTTTCCAACGCTATAACCGCTATCGAAAACCAAACTGTGCAAGCGTGACAAAAAAATCAATTGCAATTTTTTTCTGAATATTTTCGATCTGCCAAAGCACAATATAATTCAATAAAAGTATATATTGTTCACAAAAATAAAAATATATACTATTAATAATAATACATTTACGAATAATTTATTGTTAGAGAAAATACTAGTTCTTATTTGTTTAGATTCAAGAGCTGCAAAGGTAAAAGCTAATGAAGCAATATCGCTGATGAGTAAACCACCTGTCAACAAAGATAAGAAAAACGAAGCTACAAAACGATCAAAGAATGGCAAGAAGAAGGATGAAGTGAGTTTATATTACAATAGTTTATAGTAGGGGGTTTCAACCTTTTTGGGTACACGGTTCATCCAATACTAATAATGATCATAATAAAATAAACAGTAGGTAAGTACATTATTTCCCGTGGATGCCCCTGGGACCTTCAATGTACAGGTTAAAAACTCTTAGCTTAAGGTCCACACACACTGTAAACTGTACGGTACCGATACAGTGAAGGTCACGATAAAACTGAGCTCATAGTTTTATATGGCATCGGTTGCACGGTACACACGCGATATTCTTTGTGCGGTACAATTAAAAGTTATACACCTGGGATTAAATGGGCGCTTGCACACTGCTGCGATGTGATGCCTGTACGGTCTCAAATATCGTATCGGAGGACGGAATATGCGCCGGTATTTCTAGAACGTTGCATGCACAATTTTTACCGTGTACCGGAACCGTAAAATTAATAATATGTGAATCAAAACTCAAAATCGTACTTAAAAATCCTTATCATTGTGTGTATACCAGTATCGCAACTAGAGATAAAAGGGCCCGAGTTCTAGTCAAATTTTGGGGCCCCCTATAAAAAACGTTTGTCTTATTGCATAGCACCAAAATCACTACAATTAAGGATGGGCTTACAATTCCCTAATAACAAAAAAACACAGAAAATAATAAAAACACATGGTTTCTCATCTCAGGAGGCCAGACATTTTTATTTTCTCTATCCAAATAATGTCTATACATATAGTGCATACCAAGTACAATTTTAAAAAGCAAAACAATTTTTATCACTTTATTTGAATTGATTTTACTTACAAAATTAAATCAAATAATTTATGCACAGGTCTCCATTCGAGATGTAAACCATATGTTTTTATCTCAGTTGACATTTTAGATTCTGAACGGAGCGATGAATGAATTGATTTTACAATGATGTGTGTTTTTTTTTTACTTTAATTTTTAATTTTTATTTTTTTTGGATCTGTCATCACCTTCTGGACAATAAAAATGTTTAGATTTTCTTCAACAGTATCTTTTCTGATAGGAAAGTGAATCTAGTTGGTACTTTGGGGGGTCAAAAGTAAAAAATTCAAAATAGTTTTCAAAAGCGCCATGAAAAACAGAAAAATTAAGGAAAAATCGTTTTTATTAAAATCGATTTTGGGTTTTGTTGTAACTATAAAACAAATGACCGTAATTATGTGTGAAATTTTGACTGAATGTTTATATTAGGATATTCTATACATCAAAACATTTTCAAAATATTTAAACGAGGCCCTTTCGGGTGTGTGGTGGACGCTATAGGGGAAAATTGGGCACTAATTTCTGCACTGGTGTATACTGTATAGTGGGATGAATTATTGAATACGTAAACATATTCTGTGCAAGAGATATGGATTTCAAAAATAGTTTATGATATTATATTTATTTTATTATTTTTGTAATTTCTTAGTTCATACTAGCCAATAAAAAGTACCAAACATTGGTTAGGTTAGATTACCTACTTCAAGAATTTTTTTTTAAATATCCTGTCAAATGTATAATATTTATTTTGGTTACTATACATAAGTAGATACATTTATTAGTATAAACACAATAACTTATTGTTTTTAAATTATTATATTAGTTTATTATTATTTTGATGTACAGTTTCTTTAAAATGAATAATAATAGACAATTATAGGTACAAATATAAAGACTCTTATTATGTATCATTGGCACTTATAGACCTAACAGAAAAAAACGTCTGGTGGGAAGGTAAGGGATTATTCGTTATTAGAAATTATTTATTTATTATAATTCCATAAAATATCCACTGCTTTGTAGGGTGTGCTTAAATTAAAGTTACCCAATAATACCCATTTTAATTAATAAGTAGTATAACAATTTAATTGCATAGTATAAAAAAGTGCTAAACCAGAATGTCCTACCCGTATGAACCTATTTAGAATTTACCTGGATAATTTATACTTTATTTATTTAGTGCATTTCAAAATAAAAATGAAACAAAATACATTTTTATTCCTTAAGTGTTTGTATAATGTCTTCTTATCTTCTCACAGGTCTTAATTTCCTTATTAGATTTTTTTTCATATTCACCTGTTTGATAATTTTTTTTAGGCCCAAAAATGCGCCTTAGGAATTTCATTTCCAGAACTGCAGGTTTCTTTCGTTGTCTATCGTTCTCCCCTCCCCCCTCTAAAATGTTGTCACGCCTAGGGGAGCGTGCCCCCAGGTTGAGAACCCTCGTTTTAGAGGAACATAAATTATAACAAATTACAATGGTTTTTTTTTTTTAAATTGTATGATTTATTTTTCTGTTAAAATACCTCGTTGAAAAATGTACTTGTACACAATTTTTAATCTAGTACGAACTAGTTAGTTTGTCAGCGTTATAAGTTGGTTGGCAATTGGCAGAAAAGCCGGTTAAATTTGTGGACACTTAATTAAAAATTAGATTAGTACCTGTAGGCGCGGCGACGAGTTTCCTTTGTCAACAATCAGACAACGTCAGCTGGCTTACGCTTACCCCCCCAACTCGACCTTGAAGTCACAGTTTCGGATCAAAGTCACGCCTTTGCTCACAAGTTGACCGCCTGATACTGATCTTATTTTGGATTAAGTTATGGGTGGTTTTAAAGTTTGCATGCCTTCATGCCTATATTTGTTTATGTAATGTATCGTAATATAATTAAACATTTGTGTTGTTCTATCGTTTTTATTGTAATAATAAATTAATTCAAGTCAAATTTACCACTTCTTTTAAATCCCTTATCAATATGCAATTGTGAATTAGGCACTGACAAATTATTTTTAGCTCATAAAACTCATAGGATGTTGGCAGTAAAAAATCGATGATTAGAAATCCAAGTATTTATAGTTTTAAAAATGATTTAATGACCTAATCTAATCCAACCATATACTTCATCTTTGTTTTAAATTTAAATATTGTATATAAACTTAAAAACCGTGAAAAGGTACAATAATTGATTACAAGGTATAACTTAAATAATAGTTTCCGCTCGTGAATTGTATAAATATTATTTTTTTTCCTCAATAGGGTAAGACAGTAATAATATAAACTATAATATACATATAAAATGTGTTGTTTAATGTACTATGGGGGTTTTTATTTTTAAATAGTCGTTTGTACACTATTTACATTTTACACTAAAATTACCGTTTTCTACGCGACGGCATCAGTATTGCTATATAGCTGGCGTTGTTATCGGTGGCGGCGACGGTGGTCGTTGCGCAGGACCGCTTGAACGAACTCCGAATCGGTGGCCGATCGGTGATCGTCCACGTATTGTTGCACCAACCGTTTTGGTTGTCGCAGTCTCTGGAAACAGGTGTCCGTAGCCCATGGTGACCATTCGGTGTTCGTATAGCCGGTAAAAATAACACGGGTACACTCGTTGGACGGCGTCCGTGAACGTCTCCGACCGGTCGGTAAGCAGCGTGGCGCACGCAAACATGGCCGCCGCCGTAGCTAAGTGACCATCTTCCAGTGACTGTTCGCCAGCGCGCACCGACTGCACGAATATTCCTGCCAACCATTTCCGGACGTTGGTCTTGACGGGCGTCATCGGATGCCGCTCCGAAAGCCCGTTCCGGACGATGAACCAATCGTTGCTGTCGTTGTAGGTCATCGTCGTGGATCTATATTGGTTATTATCTTCCTCATCCTCCTCTTTTCGTCGCATTATTCCTCTGCAGCTATTTAACATAAACATTTCCGCCAAATCATAGATCTCTAGTTCAAATAGTTCAATAAACGAACAACAACGAATAACCAAAACGTAGTCATTATATCTAATTTGTTCTTTTCGTTTTAGTGGTTTATTATTGTTGCTAAGCTATAGTTGTCAATATATAAATAAGGGAACAATCGAATAATTTGATATCTTGCGTTAGTTTTGGATTTTTTATAACTTAAATAAAACTTTGTTTTTTAATGGTCAGTCACAATTTTCGAAAGGAGCGAAGTATTTGTAAATGTACAGATAGGGTACGTAAAGATTTCCATTTTCCATGTGAATTTACTATCTCCCCATAAGATAAAAAATATTTATCGACACATAATATTGAGTAAGATATTGTAACTACTTTAGACGGACCATTTAAAAATACACAGTTAACACTATATATTTTTTCAAACAATATTAAATACATATTAATAAAAAAAAAAATTATAATATACAATAACTGTACGTAATTATGCGTATACAAGTTTAAAAGTATTAGTTACTAGTATAAATTACTCATCGTTTTATGTCACAACTATATTTAACATTAGCATGTCAGCTTGCTAATGCGTAGCTATTGTTAGGTTTTTGTGATTATGTGAGTAGAATGTTATCAGGTAGACGGTAGATAGCGGACCCCTCGTTGCGAGTACGTACGTGTATAATTTAACTTAAAAGTATCAAAAAATGAAAAAAAATTGGTACTCCGAAACCGTGGCTCGAACTTGATACATTCTGTACTAAAATACACAGGCTAATATTATTTATAATAATAATTATTATTATTAAAGCCAATAACTACCAATTATAAAAAAAAAAAATATGATAATATTCTCAAAAGCTCTGTTTCAGAACTTCCCAGGGTTGGACCTCTTATTTACATATTTTGCGACAAAATGTAGCTTATCTTCTTCTCCAAAGTCTAATCTTTCTCTGTTCCAAATATCATCGCAATCGGATGAACGGTTTAGGGATGTATAAAAGACACAATCAGTTGCAAACATTTTGTGTAATTTATATATATATATAGATATACATATAGCTTTTGTAAATTGAGTCACTTATATTCATTTATTTAGAAATCAGGTCACTTATGTAATTTATTATCCAAATTTGGCTGAATTTAAATTATTTGTTATTTGTTAGTAAATGTTATTAAATAAGGGAGTTTTAATTTTATTCTATTAAAAAAAAATCTTGTTCCCCAAAATATTGATTCTATGGGACTTATTTTGCCTCACAAAGCACTTGTTTCACGTTTGGAACACAAGTTCCTTATTATTAATATAACTTTATTTTAGTTATTATTTTTTGTAATTTTTATAAAACTTGTTAAGAATTTAAATTAGAAATTAAAATCCCATTTTTAGTGGTTTTTTGTAATTTGTCTATGGTTTTTCCCATGGTATTAAATAGCTATTGAGAAAATCGAAAAATGACTTCTCTAAAGTTTAGGTACCATCTTGATCCAATTTGCTAAAACATAAGGTACCATATGTTAAAATCGAAGCACTCCTTCTGGTAGAAATTTTGTATACAAGATAAAAAAAAAAAAATACCATTGTAAAACCACTAGCTAGCATAGCCTAAAAAATATATATAATTTTCATATGGGTATTATAATATATTATTAAATGTTGAATTAAGTGAAAAATGTCATGAATAATTACCATTTAAAAAAATTATTCTGTGTATGGTGTACGAAAAAAATGTTTGAATTTGTTGATTAAAATTTACATGTTCTTTTGAATAGTGTACTAAATATTTGTTTTGTAAAAGTATGAATATATATTTAAATCAAATACATTCCAATAGTTTAATTAACAAAAATACTGAATATAAGTTTGTACTACTTTACTTAGTAAATGATCCCCATATCAATCAATTATCTAAATACTATCAATTGATTATCTTAATGACACTTTGGTTATTATTTAAAACCATAGACATATAAGACAACTAGAAAATGGACTGTATATTACGTTCTCCCAGGAACGTTGAAGTCTTGCGGCCATATGCCAACAGGGCAATGTTAACAAAATAACTCAATAGATAAAATTCCTATACTGATATGTTTTACATGTCTATTTATTATGTTGTTATCATTATAAACTAAATAAACAATTTTGTAAACATTGCCCTGTTGGCATATGGCTGCCGACTTCAATATTATCGTGTAGTCAGTTATCTAGTTGTTTTATATGTCTATGTTTAAAACACAATTTCATTGATTATAAATAGCTTATCGATTTTTTTTTCAGTTTGATCCATGGCATGGCATGTTGACACTGGAAGACTACAACGTTAAGTTGCCAAAGTTTGCTCAAGAAATATTAATTCTAGATAAACATATGCTTGAAGATGATCGTTGTGTAAGTGAAACTACTACAAAAAATAAAACTGATTGATAATTGATAAAGAGTAAAATTATTTGATGTTTATATTTTATTAGATTTCAATAGTACCTTCATATACAACTGTGTTCACTATTATAAACGATTACTTACGTAAAACCGAAACGTTAGTATACAAACTATTTTCTAATTACTTTAATCAAATATATATATTAATATATAAATTCTTACTACATTTCAGTAATTGCGAGGAAATGGCAATCATTATTTTAGAAGCATTTAATTGTTCGTTGTATTTGTGGTTGTTACATCCACTTGAAAGGCCTAAACATGATCAAGTAAGTTTTTTGGTTTTTATTTGTTTTTTTTTTCACCTGAAATATATATACATAATTGGCAGAGAAGAGAATGTTGTTCATATAACAGATTTTAATGAAACTTATGGTAACCTTATAGTTAATAATTGATGTGGGCTGTATGAGTTATACATCTTGAGCGCTATTGGGTCAGGTCATGTAAATGTCGATATTGTATATTTGACACACTAACGGAACTTATTTGTCAGCTATTAAATAATGATTAAATTAACATATTCGTTAAATAATTTGATTGAATTAATCAAGGTCTAGTTTTGATGAGTTCCACTACATTTTAAAATTAATTAATTCATCCATTGTTTTAGGTTGTACATAACAATGTTGGCAAATCTATGTGTCACATTTATGGACTTCCTCATTTTCTCAGATTTATCAGTAAGTATACATTTTAAAATCATATCCACACATTTATGGCTAGTTTTTTTATTAAACTATGTACAACAAATATGTTTACAGTGAAACTGCCCAAAATTTTCCACTTGGTAAAGAATAACTTGGACAGCTTTGTACCCGATGCTGTTGAGTTTATTAAAGGATTACTTAGGTAAGGTTTTTTATACTTATCTTAATTTAGATCAAAAAGTAAATACATACACTATTGTTCTAATTTTAAAAGTGGAACCTATAATTTGAATCTCATAACAGTGTTAATTGTTAATTATAATTGAAGAAATCTTAATTTTCCTCAGTAGAAAAAATGTATGTATTTTACATCTTTTCAATAATGCATTATTAATTATTAATTATTATTATTTATTATTAAATAAATAAATTACATTAAATTTAATATATCTTATATACAAACAAAATGAGTATATATCATTAAATGTTTTACTTTTCATACAACACCAAGTATAAAAGTCGGTGGCATAGTTGTAAACAATTAAGAGGATTGAATACCAATGTAAAAATTTAGTAATGGGGACTAAAAAGCGAGACAACCGTATGGGGCTTTGGGTGATCGGATCTTATTTCTAAAAACTGCTCTGAAATTGTTGTTTAATCTACTAGTAATTGATCAGAGCATTTTTTCTTCCAGTTATTAAAGGTAGGGATATTTAAAATAAAAATACTGTTGTTTTGAAACATTTATAATAGTTAAGATTTTAGTACTAAAAAAAAAATCCTTGTTCGATCACTTATAGACAAATCTAGTAAATAAGATATCTTTCAGAATTAAAATTTGGACGATCAGAGTCATGCAGTTTTGTCTAGCTTATAAGTATTATTAATACTTTTGACCTGAAAAATTAAAATTATTAACATTTGTTTAATTCGTTATTGACATGTAGGTACGTGCACTTGTGGGAGCGCTCTGTTATTTATTTTATATAGTCACTCACACTTATAATCACTTACTGTGAACATGTTTACACGATCCACATGCACACATATAGAAAATTGCGTATATTAAACTTCTTTCTCCTTTAGGGTAGTGGGGGGAGGGGGATATTAAATACCTAATTTTAAATAATTAAAACGTAAAAGTATGATATAATCAAAAATAAATATGCCCTAAACAAAAAAATTAAAAACTCCTGTAGGTGGAAAATTGCACCTGTTGATCTCCTCTCCAATTAAATATACCACTGATAAAACTATGAAAACTTATAATAGGGGATTATGTTTAGTATTAAATTTTTTCAAAATTACTTGTATTTTATGATTAACTTATTCTTACTGTTTTATTTTTTAGCTTTATAGAGCAACAGTATGAAAAAAGTATCTATATTATGAATTATGATTGTATAATGCCCTATGAATATAGAAGGGCATACTATGTGTAACTTTTTTCCTTTTGGAATGATACAGTCTATTTGTTGTTCATTACACATACCTAGATAATAGTTTATTACTCTGTAAAACGTTTTTTTTCATACATTCATTGTAATTCATTAACTTTTTTTACCATAGTGTTATTATTATTTATTAAGTATAAAGTAGGTTACTCTTTTAATATGTATTGTTTAAAATACAAGCATTTTTCTATTGTCATAAATATGTTCCAATAGCTTTATTAGTATAGTAATTATGTGACTTTGATTATTATTTACAGTAAAATCATTTCGCACAAACTTTTAAAAATGTTTTGTGTTGTTTTTCATTTAATTTATTTGAACTATTAGTTATATTTAAGTAAGTAATAATATTTGTCTACATGTTAACTAAGATATATTTGAGTACAATTACTCAAATATATATATTTATCTCGTGCACAGCATGTCGACATATATCTCATTATTCTTATAAAACATTGTATCTTGAATTTATCTGCGAAGAAACCAGTTAGTTCTTAAGTTTATCATTTATGAAAAATGTTTTCCACTATTCTATTTTAATTTAATTTAATTTACTATTTAGTAAATGAACCTTTATCAAATGTTATATTCTGGATAAATTAATTGTACCCTACTATTATATAACTTTTGTTAAGTGTACAAATGTACACCAGGTTAAGAGACTGATATTGTTTTATGTTATTAAAATGTATTTCTTATTATGAAAGTATTCAGTAATTGTATTAGACTAAATGTAAATTTATTTATTTAAAAATTTACTTTGTTTACCAATTTAATAAATATGTTATTATCTATGTGTAAATATTATAGTGTGATTGATGTTATAACTTTACTTTACAGTTATGTGTTATTTGGGGCTGTATATTACTATTTAATGAATGATACATTTGAATAGTGATGGGTGACTGTGATCGGAATTTTCTAATTTGAAAATCAATGAAAATCCTACTATCTTTAAAAATTGATACAACACTCAAGCTTTCTTGCATGATGTTGCCCCTAAATCATTTATATTATATTTAGGTTTCTAGTACTGTTGTAGAATGTATTCAAACACAAGAATAAAACATTTAAATAATGAGTAACTAACATTATTATTTTGGTTAATTAAGGGTGTTACGGACCCAAATATTTCACATGTATTAACTTATAAACATACCATTAATGATTCCAACTTTCAGACCACAATTCAAATCTATACTAATTTATATTTTAAAGAATGACTGGATTTCTATACTCAAATCACCGAAAGAACGCTAGTCTCTTTCTCATCCAAATGAACGTGATCCTCTGTCAATAGGTCTAAATTCTTCCCCCACAGGGTACCTGTACGTTTATACAACGGCGATGCAGTGCACTCTAGTGGCGGCGGCAATGTTTGATAGGTGGAGTTTGCTCTGGTAAAGTGGTGGGAATGCCCAGCAATAGACAAGTTTTGGGCGCCCCCGACTTGAGTTCTCTCAGTGATTTGAGTATAGAAAACTCGTAGAACAACCAGTTTTTATAAGTAAGGTTAATATAAGGCTGTTAGACGGTACAAAACCCCCCATGGAATTGACCTGAAGACGCCCCTAGTTACACGTTTATTTTGACATGTATATGTCATATGGCTGGTTACATATTCAAGATATATACATGTCTGATGTATCTGCATGCAGTGGAGACACTCCTTTTTTTTTGTGATGATTTCAATTTACCTGTTATTTCTTTGTCTAACGATGACACTGGTTTAATATAATCCACTAATATTAGTTCCCGGATTCATTGTGTGCCTGTAACTTTTGCAGTTCATAACTTTTTCCAGATGAACAATGTTTTTAATTATTTTATTTCCCTATTAGATCTCATATTTTTAACCATAATCAACTCGGTGTTCATACTGCTCTGGTTCCTACTGTGCCTGAGGACCGTTATCATCCAGCATTTTAAATTGTCCTAACTCCTGAAGTCGTCTTGCCAATGATTAGTTTTGCTTATTCCTTCTTTGACTTTCATAGGGCCGATTATGCAAGTATTATTAACATTCTTTTATCGTACAACATGCTGATATTATTTCGTAACTTGACTCTAATTGTACAGCGCAGATCCTGCTAGATGCCTTGCATTTGCATACATCAGTCCTTCATTATGTGCCTAGTGTAAAATGTTTTCCATCTAAATTTCCTGCTTGGTTCTCTAAGGACTTAACCGATTTGGTATTCAAAAAAAGGAAAGCTCATGCAGTGTTTCAAAATACTAAAAATCCTGACGATTACCGTAGTTTTTCCGTTCTTCGGGCTTAATACAAATATATGTCCAAACAATGCTATAGGTCATTTATTAAAACCACTGAATCCTGTTTCAATTCAAATCCTTCTAAGTCCTGGGAATTCATTAGGAAAAATAGATCCAGTCAATCTATCTCGAAATCTGTTAAGTCAAATGGAGTAGCTAGTGTAAATATAAATGATTTTGCTTCTCGTTTTCCTAAACATTTCAATTTAGTATTTACTATATTCTCACTCTAATGTAGACTATGTTCCTTCTTCGGTTACCAATTTGTTCTCCGATCTTCCTAGTACTAGTCTCTTTGAATTGTGTCAGGTTACAGATGGACTAGCCAAACTAAAAAAAAAAATATTACAATAGGTACCACTGTATTACCATGCAATAATACCATACTGAAATATAACTTGGTAGAAAGACAAATACACAATACTCATAATTATATCTAGTGAAATTATTTTCCTCTGACAATATATTTTGTAGTTTTGTACATAATTATCCTTAGGAGTTAGGGGCACAGTATTAAATTGCAAATCGCTTTACCATCATCGGGAGTCCCTCAAGGTGCAATTTTATTATCCCTCTTTTTAATTATTGGTATATTATATTGAACCCTCTGTATTGATTCATGCAAAATTACTTGCGGTCACTGACTATATAGTACCTCTATATGAACATACAATCTAGTATTTATTGTGTAATATACTCAACTAGCACAGTTGAAGTGTTGGAAGTATTTTGAAATGATTTACGAAGATAATGTTATAATTAAACAGTTGTTACAGATTGTGACAAATTGCAAGCTGATCTTTATCGGTTGGTTAGTTATAGGGAAATGGTGTTGACCTACATATTAATGATTTGATATGTCCAGTGGCGTATTTTGGGTTTTTTTTTGGGGGCTGTCCTGACTCCTGATCTCCACAGTTATTTAATGACAAATATTAACATAGTTTCATCACTAATTCATACCTGATTATAATACATCTTAATACCTTATATAAGTGGACATTTTTTTGTAAAAAAATTATAGGATTGCTACTTACATTTTTAATTATAATACAATTATGACAGGAATAAAGTATAAACAATTTTACTGAATAAAATAAAACCAATCTAACACTTAAATTTACTGAGTATTTTTTCGTATGAGTTTAATTTATTTTGTATACTTATATAATATTATAGATATATTAAAAGAAAATAAAACACTAAAATTTCAAAACTTTAACCTCACAGTATTAAAGGTAGACGTCTTTTTTTTACAGCCAATTCGTCTCGTATTGTTGTACTTCGAGTGTACAACTGTCAACTGACAACTGTACATAGTACACTTTATATCGTTGGTCTTTTGCTATCTTAGATAATAATAATTGTTGTATTTGAAGAAAGATAATAAGGCGATAGCCTATAATACGGCTAGCCGAAACGATAATACAATTCTAAGAATTACATAGTTCACAATATTCTGTTATTTCGCCACTGCCTGCACGGCTGCACCTAGAGAGGTATTTATATATATATACACGCAATATATATAATCAATGCTAATACCTATTGACTATTATCTGGTATAAGATGAAAATATAAAATATACATTATTCAATTTTCATTTTTCAAAGCAGTTTTAAAATATTTCGTTATTCGTATTTTGTGATACTTCAGTAATGAATATAACTAAGAAAAAAATTGGGGGGGGGGGTTAACCCCCAGGACACCCCCCCTAAATACGCCACTGGATATGTCAAATAATGTCAAGATTCTTTGATTTTTTCAGAGACCCAAGCGCGATTTGAAACTATTTTCATCTTTAAAATAATTATACTTCTCTTAATTGACGAATATACTCGAGTTCGGTTCAGTATTATGGGAGCCATCAACTTCTTGCGACCGCCAAACACTGTTGGAAATTATCTAGATAAGATTTTTTTGAAATAAATTATCTTTTAAAGTATCTAGATAATTATTAATTATGTTACGATTTATCTAATGTTTAGCTTAGATAAAAAATGGGCTTATCTAGATAAATATTATAGTGCCCCTACAAATTTATAAAACCAATGTCACTAAAATTCTAATGTAATATAAATTATTTATAAAATTAGGAGAATATATTTCTTGTTATTATTGCCAACGACGGTATTACGATAATACGAGAACCTGCATGCGGGCTTGCACTATACATCGTTCTCTAGTAGCCGTAATGAGCATATTAAAATTAATTAGGTATTTCCCCATCCATTTTAAAAATAAATTAAAATTAACTTCGTAGAACTGTATTTCAAAGGCTCAATCCGTTGTTATCATAAATATTATGTCATTATATTGATATAAGCCCAATATTACAAAAATATTAAAAAACAATAAAAATAAGTGTAAAAAATGATATTTATCTAGATAAATTAAATTTATGTTATCTTCATTTTTATCTAGATAATATTTTGTTAAAATTATCTTATCTTAACCAGATTATTTTTTAGTTATCTATACCCAACACTACCGCCAAACGATGCATTGTCGCAAAGGAAGTTCAAGTTCTTTGTAGTTTTTAATTTAAACATAAACTGCCCCCCACGTGACCACATGGCTAAACACTTGGTTGATTGATCTGAGCAGCTTTCTAGATTGTCGTTAAACAACTAATCTATCATTCTAATGAAACTTATATCTGGCCATGTCGACTCTCCAACTCTACTAGCTGATATAAACTTTAGACTTTAGAA